CCCATAAAAGCTCCCTCGTGCTATTAACTTCTCGACGGTAACATTCAAAAGTATCGCCGTAGCGCTTGATTTTGTCACGGACGCTGTGTGTGTTTCATCGAAGGCCGCGCTATCACGTGCAAGCGACAACAAATAAGATACCTGACCCGAATACGATCTTCTCTCTAAAGCTCCGAAACTTGTCATTCACTTTCTTTTTTCCATAAAAAATGCTCAACTAGTTGCACAAGCGTGTTTCCGTTGAAATATTGGGCCGACAAAAAACACGACACTGAGAAAATATACACTGAGATGACAAAAATATATCTAAAAATAAAAAATATTTATTCGGCAGGGTACTGATATCATATTTACTTAAATGTAAATTCTTTTATTTGTCTAGAATAAATAATTGCTCCCGTGAAAAGCTACGGTTTTACGAAAATGTGTGTTTTTTCAATCGGAAAAAGAAAACAACTTTCTCATTGTAAAAATACGTATCTCGCTACGAGCAAATATGTTTATCAGTACTCGCCGAATAAATATTTTTTTTATTCCACGGATATTCTTTCTCTCACAGTGTAGCAATCGTATGAACAACGAACTTCCAACAACAGTTTCTAATGACATCCGCGACGATTTAAACTACGTTACATTCGCCGCGTAAGTTGAAACGTAAAATCTTACATCGTTCGTTTCATCCCTCTCACGAGGAACGAACGTAATGTAGTTTAGTGCATATAGAATAAAGAGTCGGAGAGCGAGGGACGATGGGAATTCAGCTGGCCGCAAAGCGTTCCGTCATTCCGTCGCGCTGCAATCCCGTCGCCGCAACGGAACAAACAGAAACGCATTTACCACAATTCAACTACCCCCTCCCTCGCGCGATCTGCCTCTGCCGTTTTCCACCTGCGAGCCGTTGACATCCCCGCCATTACTTATGGTGCCGCGAAGACTGCTTACAGAGGGGTGTCCCGGCGAGCACGTGTAACTTCATGAAAGCGTTTACGGTGCGCGCGACAAGCGCGGATGGTGAGACCAGCTGCATACGTTACATATAGATGCGGCCGCCGACGTGCTCCGCAAATGTATTCTCGTTAGAGATGCGCATCGCGATGTTACAAGTAACCTGCGACCGTTCTCGTCGCCCGTCCTTTATTTCACACCTATTTCGTGGCTCAACCTGCGCGAGACGATTAAAAAATTCCCCTCGATTTGCCTTGTTCCCGATGGACAGTTGATTAAAACGGATAATTAGTTGAAAGTGCACGGATAGATGGACAAATAGACAGATTGATTGATTACCTAATTGGTCGTTTGATTTATACATGGCTAGATCGATACAGAGAGAGACGGAGGGCGGAAAAATATTACCAATTATAATAATTGATTTAATCGTGATAATAATTAGTGCTATTTATTTTCTCCCTATCTCTGTCGACGGCACGAGCAAAGATAATCAATGATTTTATCGTGTTGATAATTCGTATTAATAATTAATATTAATTATAATCAGGTAATTGCTATCTCACTTATATTGAGCGCAAATCCCTCCCCCCTCTCTCTCTCTCTCTCTCTCTCTCTCGACCTGAATCTTTTTTCGGGGCCTACGTTAATACTCCTCAAGTACGGCGTATTCCGCGGCTCGCAAAAGAATATCTTCGCACAAACGTTCTCTTCCTCTCCTTTATTCACCCTTATGGGTTTATCTCGTCACCCACCAAAAGGGGAGAGGCGCCAGGGGCAAAGGAGACGAGGGGAGGTCTGCGAAAATACAGCTACAAGGCTGACGGCTTTTCTATCTCTCCGGAAGTGGCGCAGTCACACGACATATCTTCCGTCTTCCCTCCCTCCCCCCCACCTTCCCCCGCGGCCGTTCTACCTTCGTCTTCCTTCAGAGTCCGCTAGATAATTCTCCCGGTATTCTTGGGTTTCCTGTCGGTTGCAGACGGGCACAGGCAAGCTACTTTCGGACGACACAATGCTGCCACCATCACCAAGCAGCACTACCGCTATCCCCCACCTCCTCGGGAGGGGGTGAGGAGGGTGGAGGGGAAGAGAAGCTATGTCCTTAGGGGCGTCGTGTATCGCGGCTACGTGCGCAACATCGCGATCTGTCGGACAAAAGGGCGCGCGGGCTGCAACGGAAGCTCTCCCCCTCCCCTTCCCTCGCTCTCTCCCCCTCGCATCGCTTTTATTTCGGTGCCGGTGCAACCGACATACCCGCGATACGAATTGCCGCTCATCGCTAGTCGACAAAGTCGCGCCGTTTCGCCGAAAACTCCAACCCTGCAACGGACACTGGGTACACCGTGTATGCGTGTGTGTGTGTGTGTGTGTATGTGTGTGCGCGCGTGCGCGCGCGAAGCCAACGTGCCATGCCGCGGAAACTTGTAAACTATTGAGAATTTTCTCGCCTGGCGCTCCCACCGGTTCCGCAGTGCTCTTGATGGGTTAAACAAATGGTTCCGGTTATTAAACCGGCGGAATTGACTTCAGCGCGACACGGAATGTCAATTCCGCACTTCGCATCTCAGTTTGTCCCCACCGGGGGAGTTATCTCTCGTTGCTTTTCTTTTCGCCAGATTCTGACCAACTTACAGGTGAACCCTACCCGAGTGGAAACGCATCCCTACTCTGGGCTTGAATCAAAAGCTAATGACTAGCTAGATTAAATTTTCTACCTCGTTACTGACTAAAGACGTAGAATTGATTTTACGATCTGTCCTGTCTGCGTAACCGTTGCATGTTAAATATAAATATAAAATGATAGAGTAGACGGCGCACGCGCTGTCCTTCTCTCTGTTCTAAAATATATGATTCAGCTAGATTACACCCGAGCAGAACAGATTTCTAGAAGACACTTTAAAGACGTCTGAAGGATATCTAAAAAAAAAAAATAGGACGTCTCTTGGACGTTTTTGAGACATCTCTTATAAATTTATTCTTGATATGCGCCCGCTATTAACACTTGAAAATGAAATAACAGAAATTGATTGTACGTTATTCCATAAAAACCTGAAGAAAGCAGAAGCGAGCGTTGCATTACTGATTGGCAACTAGTTACGATTTTCAGCCCCGTAACTGTAATTTCTTTCTATTCGACCATCAGCTAACTTATTTACCTGGCCATTGTCTAACCACCAGGAGAAGCGAGCGTTACATTACTGGCTAACGTAACGGCGTTAGACACAAATTTATCGCCTTGCGGCTAGACACCCGCGAGGTTCAATTTCTACCAGGGTGTACCCGCAGTAACACTTCCTGCGCAGGGATCGAGGAGAAATTTAAGTTCGCGAGAATAATCAAGCGGCGGGGGTGTAAATGTGGAAAATCAATTTAATTGTGACCTTTGGCTTTTTCCGAGAAATTCAAATAGGAATGATTTCGACGTCCCCCAGCGTCACTTCCCGGCTGCAGTGACCTCGACCTCGACGACGTATCCTCGTCAAGATCATCGTCTTGAGCAAAGTTTTAGCCGTAGCTTTTATTCTTTATTAAAGAATTCTCGATGGAGCGTTCGAAGCATGTGACAGTTGACGTGAACGTTGGAGGGTTGGCGCAGTTCGACCCAGTGAGAACGCTTTATCAATTCACAGGGACAAATTGAAAAGTGACAGCCGCGCGGTATTTCCGGCGAATTCCGTTGACTCCTATTTCGGAATAGATAAGGACACGAATCCCCCGTTAATCCTGTTACTATAATGAGATACCGGGCGTAATCCGATAAATCTGACGGGATTGCGACGCCGCTATTTCTCATCCAAATTGAAAACGCGTACTTGGTACGCGCGGCGTCGAACGCGAGTCGCATTCTTGACTTTTCCGTCTTGATTCTCCTCTTCCTCGCTTCCCACCCCGCGTTCATTACGTCGTCGTTAACGACTCACCGTGCTTATCAGCGGTGCATCTTACATACATTCGCGCCCCCGACGATACCCCGCCGATCGGATGAAATTGCGACGCGGGTGAAACACGCGAAGGAAAACGCCTCTCTCGTTAGCCGTGTTAACGTATTGTAAGCGGGAATTAAAGTCGACCAAACCAAAATCAGCTCTCGGGCTTTTCAAGCGCCCGTCTGCGATCTGTCCGACCGTGAAACGAGCGGGATCGCGTTCCCGAGATTGCGTTACCGGCTTTCAAGCGGACGGACGCGCGAGCTCCGTTCTCTTCGGTAACGAATAAATCCTAACGAGGCAGGGATCGGTAACGCGAGCCGATTACTAATTACAAGCACATCAATGGTGGCGGGCGGGCGGGGAGAATTTAATACAGGTTACAGCCGCGAGTTACACGCTGCGTCCGCCTTTCACAGGGCCGCTCGCATTGTAGTACCTACGTGCCACACGCTCGTCAGCCAATTATCACGTGCATTTGCGCTCTTATCGATGCGCGCGCCTAGAAAGGCGCGGACGGACGTCCGATTTTGCATAAAGCCCGGCCGCCTCCGCATTGTTACGTCGCGATACGCGGATAATTGGCGGTAATCGCGCGAATAATTCCGGAGCGGCGACGGAAATTTTTCGATTGGGCGGCGATCTCTCGTCGCCACCCCCGACCTATCGACCCGTTTGCTTCTTTTTCCCTCTTTCTTAATCGGCCACAGTTATGCGAGAAGGGTCCGACCCATAAAAGTATGCACGGAGAAAGCGAATTTTGCTAGAACAGCGAGTGTTTGTCAATACAGTGACAGCGGAAAACAGTTTGTTTAGAATCTTAAATCTACTTTGACGATACTGGCACTTGTTAGCTTCTCTCTTGAACCTTTACTTCGACAGATTCCATTTTAATCCTACCTTGATCAACCTATTTGGACGCTAACGACGTCATCAGAGTAGGGGTGAATTAAATTAGTAAGATTGACATTTTTGAACCTATTTTGCCACCTCTCAGTTTCCACAGTGTGGTAGAATTCAAGGTTTAAAATAAGGCCAAATTTTCGACTTCGGAAAGATGACGCAAAAAGCTCGTTCGCAACGGGACTAATCGTTGTTTCTCTCTCTGTCCTTCCGCATAACCAGGAGAACGACACGATACGCTTCCGAGTGACCCTGGAGGACGAGGTGCCCGCGGGACAGCAGCCCAACATCGTCGGCGTGGACGCGTACGTGATCGTGCTGGACGAGAACGACAATCCGCCGCACTTCCTCGGGGTGCCATACGAAGCGGTGGCGGAGGAGGACACCCCGGTCGGCTCCACCATACTGCCTGGTATCCGAGTCGTTGACCCTGACCTACTGGGCGAGGTCATAGATTTAACGTGTGTCCCACAGCCACAGGTGAGTCATTAATACACGTTGGCGCGGTAATGTCCCGTGAAAGATATTTTTACGCGGTTGCTCACGAATATCTCGCTTCTCCGCCTGGCCGGAAGCTCCCGGAGGAACATTTCAGCCGATACGCGCGCGCGAGCGCGCATGTAGATACACACACACACACACATGCGTGTGTGCAAAACGGCCCTTTTGGTTCATCATTGCCGCCCGATGAACACCGACTAACAACAATGTTGCGTCGATGTTGCAATTTCCCACTCGACGGTGTGTAATTGTTACACACAACATATGTTACGCCGGATTTGCATTATGTGGGAGATAATAACATTGATGTGATGTTACACTGAAGAGAAACCCCGCTAAAATTATCGTCATTTTCGGCAATTCAACTGTGCATCTTCCTCTGGTTTCGTAACGCGGGAAATATCAGCAGCAATATTTATTTATTTATTTGAGTAAACATTCTCCCGACTATAATTCTTTCACTTGTGCGGTTATAGTTACGGATACCAAACATTATTTTCTCAGTGTATTGTTGCCTGGTGTTCGCCGGCTTGTTTCGAGCAATTTATCCAATTGATAACATCGCCTTTTTTTTTTCGAAACAACACACTTTCCGCTTATTTCGTATGTGCGACCAGCAAGAAACGCGAGATTTTTGTGTTCCCTACTCATTTCCCTCTCTGTCGGTCACCGACGACGGAACAAGAGGATGATGAGACCTGGCGCAAACGCAACGTGAATTCACGTGGCGATTCTTCTCTTCACTTTAAACTCCGCGAACCTCTCCCCCTCTTGTTCCCGCGCCTCCACCACTGACGTCTCTTGCACGTGGATCGGGGAGAAAACGGGCATGGCTATATATTAGCACGTATAACGCGAGCCCCCTACGTCATATCCACTCAATAAATTCTGCGGGGCCGTTAGGCGCGACCAATAAAGCCGTAAAATCTTTTAAGTAATGGCCCCGGCGGCTTTACGGTAACAAACTTTCATGGCCCGCTCTCGTTATACGCGGAAACGCGACTGCCGGCCGTACAATGCAATTCGTCCGGTTATTAAACGGGATTTGCGCTTGACAATGCTCGGGATAGCAGCGGATCACACGCGGGGAATCGATCTGCGAAATGTTCACATCAACGATCCGTAGCTTATGAACTAGCGAAAACAGGATAAATAATCGAAGTGCTCGAACCACAGGAGCAGGATGTCCGCTACAAATCTCGTTATGAATTAAACACATCGACTCGTGGAGTGGAGTAGGAACATTTCCACTAGCGGGACATCATCTCGACTTTCATGATTTAACAGCAATATAACAGCTCTAATAAATGACAAATGTGATTATATATGTATGCAGATATAAATATATTTAAAAACTTCTCTCAACTGTAATATTTAAATTTATTACACGAGATGATAGAAGTTATGAACCAAATTAAAATTATAGCGACTTTATATTCGGCAAATCCGCTTTTTAGAGGTAATAACGTAAGCAGAAGAAGTAAAATGAAAAATTAATAAAAATAAAAGAAGAGTAAAGTAAAAAATAGAATCAAATATAAATAAAACCAATAGTCAATGAATCCTGTGACTTTTATTACAACGCCTTTCAAATTTTGCGACGATATCACATGGGCTTTGTCGCCGGCGTTAAAGGGTTCGCGGCACCCCACTTAAAGGGGTTAACGAGCACTTTGCGAACATCCGTGCGAAAAACCCCCACTAATTGCACCGCCAACGTCGCACACCTCATTTGCAATCGTGGAGTGAGTACGGCGTAAAGCGATCACACGTGCGATCGTGCAGACGCACGTGCATAATACGTCGCTCGCAAATATGAAGCGTTCGCGGCGAAGCGACGGACGTGACTCGAGCCGCATATGAGCGGACGACTAACTTTTGTTGCAGTTCCTGGATGCCTGCGAGAAGTTCGGCATCGTCAACGTCGAGAGGAGCCAGAATACATACGTGGGCGCCCTGGTGCTCAAGCAACCCCTCGACTATCGAGAGAGGCCTTTCTACCAGTTACTGCTGCGAGCAAGCGTGAGTAGTTGCGGATAGAGAGGGAGGGGGAGGGGGGGGACTCGAGAATTGATTTTAATTATGCGGCTACGTGGCGAAGCTGCGCGCAGAGAAGCTTTCGCGTCTCGGCAAACGCGACGGATAAATCTATTCATAACACAAGATGCGCAACCGTATGTATCGCGGTGAATTTCGAGGGATTGCGGTGAAATTCGGATACCCGGTGAATTTGCAAGCTAACGAGGACGGGAATGACACCAAACGACTTCAGAATAGAGAGGGCTGAGCGGTAACTATTACACCGCCTTTGAAATACTTCCGAAACACGAGAGTAGGAAGGAAGAAATTTATCTGCCGGAAATTTTACGTCGATACCAACGGCCGTCCATTTCGAGGACACTCTCTGTAAACGTAAATTTTTCTCGTCCTTTCATCTAGTCGTTGATAAAATATTTTTATCTCTCGAAAATATTCGAGCTGCTCATAGTTCGTTGCCTTACCCTGTACACACGTAGGGTTTGCACTGAGTTTCGAAACGGTTTGAACTTTTTTTTTTTTCGATGCGAGTTTGAAACGCAACCGATGGACCAATTAGAGTACTTATTTCTCGAAAACGAGTTCTCCCATTGGACCATCGTTCCGTGTTTCGAACTGCGTCGAAAAAAAAAAGTTCGAGTCGTTTTGAAACCCAGTGTTTTGTAACCCTCTGTACTGTTTAATTACAGCAAAAAGGTACTTCTATTTTCGATAAGGGGAAAGTAATAATATTTCGGGTCGCTCAGCGCGACTCACCATTCGATCCGTACAATTTTTTTCATAAGTTTCGGAACGCATCTCGTGTCCGATAGGGGAATTTGTCTTTTAATAATTCTCTCAAGAAATCTATTTTTCTATTGGATGCGAGAGGCGAAACTTATCGAAAAAAAGTTCGCAACTTTTTTGTGACTGACCACACTCGCTTTGTTTTTTTTTACAATACATCGACGTAGAAAATCCTCTCAAAAGTGTTATTTCACTTCGACGCGAACGTCTCAGTTCCAGCGCGAACTGGTGTAAAGTCGAGGTATATATATACGAGGAAGCTGCGACGGAACTGTCCGAAGTGCCGCAACTTTCCTTCAATCTCTCCCTTCATTCGAAAACACACTATTTATTTTATTTCTTTCTTCAACTTCACCATCTCTCTCTCTCTCTCTCTCTCTCTCTCCCTCCCTCGCCGCGTCTCGACACTCAGCTTGTTCGGCGATTTCGTTTGTATTCCCAAACTCAATTTTCACTCGGCCCGCGTGAGTTTTCGGGACACACACAGAAGCGTGACTTCAGCTTCGCTTCGATAAATCGCGACAGTCCGTTTTGCTGGAAAGGGAGGTTCATATTATTTAAAGTGCACGCGCGAGCTCCGGCCCAGCTGAGGAACTCCATCCGTGAGTTCACGTAACTTCAAAAGGTAACGGATGAAAGGTAGTCTTGGCACACGGCACCCCGGTGGAAATCGGAGACCTTAGTTACCCCTCGGGGGCCGCCCTTTGATTCGCGTCGGCGCCGTTCCGAAGTTAAAATACGCCGGGAAACGGCGCGTCGAGGGCGTTCAGGCTCGTGTTTTCAGCGTTAGTCGACGAAAGAGAGGGGGTTGGACGGGAGGGAAAAATGTAACTGTCTACGCCAGCGATACCGTGGTCGAACGAGCCGGGTTCAATCGGAACGCGCACATTTTTTTCCCGCAGGATGGCTTGAACAACGGGACCACCGGCGTGGAGATCAAAGTAGCGGACATTCAGAACAGTCCGCCGGAATTCCTGGACTCGCTGACGGGCGTAGTTCGCGAAGACGATCCCATCGGCACCCTCGTGATGACTGTGAAGGCCCGGGACGGCGACAGGGGTATGCCGCGAAAGATGATCTACGAATTGGTCACCAGTGAGTCCATCTTCCGTGAACCGCTAAATCGGCATTTTCTTTCGCACACTTCGCTCGTGCCTTCGCTTAAATGCGGAATTATCCTCCGATCAAATGCGAACTTCCGAGCTGCGTCTACTGTGTGCCGCCGGAAACGAAAGTCCGAGGGAAATTTACTTGAAACCCGTTCGCTTCGATATGTATCGCGAGGAAGAAAATCCGCGTAATTTTACAATTAGGAATCTCTCTGGAATTTTAATTGTAAAAAGATAAACATATCTTTTTAAAGTCTAATATATATCTTCTCCTTGTGTAATATTGATAAATAGAGGCGGGGTGATGTTCGACCGACGGCAGTTTTAAATCACCGATTAGATTGACCAGAGAGTTGTCCTAACAGTAACTGGGTCTCTTTACATCGCTGATTTTTAACGACGACAACGTCGAACGTCCATCTTTGCAGACCCGTTCGATTATTTTTTGCTGGATGACGACACGGGCGAGCTGAGGACGGCGAAACCACTGGACAGGGAAGCATTGGAGAACTCGACGGGCGTACTCACATTAATTGTGAAGGCCCGCGAGTTGATCGATGGTATACCGGGCAACGATAAATTGACGGTATCGACGGCCGAAGCCACCGTCACGATTAAGGACGTCAATGACGAGCCACCCACGTTCAATCGGCGCGAGTACAACATCGAGATCCCGGAAAACGTGCCGGACGGCACGCCGTTACCGCACTTAGACATGACCGTTAAAGATCCGGATGTGGTGAGCGTTCGACAATTAATCTTACAGACGTAGTAGATCATATTGCGCACCTGTTCCACGTCAGAAATGCAATCTTTTCAACGTATCGAGGCTACCTTTCTTTCTCTCACTGGAGCTGCATCGAATTATGACGTCGAGAAGCGAAAAATTTACGTATAAATTTAGTTCAAAATTAAATTCATCTCCAAATTTGTATTTAAATCGATAAATTTAGTTAATATTATAATAATATATTTCGTTAAAATTTAATTAATATTTGAATTCAGTTAATTAGAATTTAAATTTAATTAATAATTCAGATTTAAATTTAAACTTAGATCTATAAATTAACGGAATTTAGATGTAAATATTATAATAACTAAATATAATTTTCTCCAAGTATAGATTTTGCCTTCAGTTAAACGTGTCATCGCAGTCGCTAAATGCCAATTTTTTCGTTATCTGCTCGTTATTTGCTCCCGCCTTGTTCTCGCACAGAGGACAGAAATCTTGTCGCTCTTTCGGTGTGGCGGAAGATAAAACCGTGAATTTCGACTTTAAGGGTTTAAACTCCGTGTTCTCCCTGCGACTAGAAGATATAACGGGCGCGTTCACAGTGGAACCGGTGCTGGCAACCGGAAGCACATCTGTGAACATCCGCGTTACGAATGGCTCGCTCGACTACGAAAATCCTAATCAACGGAAATTTATTATTCTGGTAAGTTACTAAGGGCACTTACACTGGTCTCTCTTACGATTAGTTCTCGTGGACATTATCGGGTCATACAATGCCTTTTTCACAGAAGAGATAATTTCGCACGAAAAGGGTCGAATTTTCCCAACAAATGCGAATGAATCGTGTAATACGGAGGCAATTGAATTTACTTGAATAGTTTCCATCGAACTTTATGGATTAGTTGTGTTGAATGGTGCGCAACGCGTATACTAATTATATCATAAAATTGAATTAACATAATAATAATTAGACCAAATTAACTCGAATATATATTATATATATTATAATATATAATTAAATTAATTTAAAAAGTATTTTGGATAAAAATTATTTTAGATAATAGAAGACGATTATCGGATGACGAACATTTTTTGATATACTTTGAATAAAACTGACAATCCGAGTCGAAATTTGGATGCTACTTTGACGCTCTTAAGAACAGTTTGCGCCTATTTAGACGACTTATGGACTAGTAAAAACTCACTTTGACGATATTACGCTTCTCCCTTTAAGGGAATTATAAGGCTCAGCATCGTATTTCCATTGATATCCCAATGAAGTTATTCATAAATTTAATATTGTATGCCAAACAAAATTATACTTTTATAACGTTATTAATACTAATGCCGAATGGTCAATGTCTTTCCAATTGCAGAAACAGTTGGATAATATTTCAGTATATACGTGCAAGTTTCATCGAATTCTTATCAAACTCACTTTGCTTTACAACCTCCTCAAATCTACAGATTTAATTTTGACACTATCTCAAAGTTATAAAAGCTCTCGATGTTCCGATTATTAAATTCATACGGATATTCAAACTATTTTGACATTCATACGGATATTCAACTATTTTGACACTGGAAACAGCGAGAACTGAGATTTAAGACATCGTCATAGTCAAAGTGGAAGTCAATTGCATCGTTAGAATTGAAATTGGACTCTTATTTTGCTATCTCAGCTGCTACTGTGTGGAATTCGAGTTTTAGCACAGGGCCGAAATCTCGACTTGGTAAAGTGCCGTATCCCAGTTTTCTCAAGCGACCGTTCCGCTCGCGGGATAAGAACTGCTCTTTGAGCCGCGAATAACGAGTGAATACGCGGCTTGTCGCCGCGATTATCTTGCGCAGGTCGTCGCCGAGGAAGTTCACACGAACCCGAAGCTGTCGTCCACGGCAACGGTAACGATCGCCATCACGGATGCAAACGACAACGCACCCTCCTTTGGGAGCCCCACGTACACATCCACAGTGTCCGAGACGGCACCACCGGGGAGCCCAATTATAACGATCATGGCCAGAGATCGCGACAGCGGACGGTAAGGTCTCGTTAATTCCGTGCTTTGTGCGCCCAACTTCAAAGCGTTTACCCTCGCTGTCCCGTATCACCACGTTCCCTGCTCGATTCTGTTCCCGCAGCTTCGGCACCGCCGGCATAGTCTATCAATTACTCGGCCAGGGCGCGGAACACTTTGCCATCGACAGGAAAACCGGCACCATCACCGTCGCGCCATGCCTGACGCCCGGCTCGTCGCCGTGCCTCGATTACGAGCAGCAGACGGAATACTTCCTCACCTATAAGGTGAGGCTATTCCCTACCTGTAGTAACATTTCACACGTAATCACATACATCTCCGTTCGCTGGGTGTTTTCTTCACACTCGTTAAATGCGCCGATTCACAGAAACGTGCAGTGGAAATTCTGCGCAAAGTTCCTCTCTTTTTTTCCCTTAATTAATTCAATATTAGTTGTTCGAATTATTTATGATAATTAGAGGAGAACTTCTGTCTCTCTGATCAAAGCACCTTCTTATTCCCCTTATTCCCGCTCCTCCGGTCTCGTTCCTCTTTCTTCTGATCGAGTGCCCTCTGCCCTTTCATCAGGCGACGGATGACAACGGGGAGGGGCAAACGACGAGCGTTTCATTGCGCATCACCGTGGCGGACGCGAACGACAGTCCGCCGCGTTTCCTGCAGGACAAGTATCGCGCGGTGGTGGACGAGGGCGCGGAAAAATTCGAGCCCGAGCTGAAGGTGCAGGCGCGCGACAAGGACAAGACGTCCAAGATCACGTACGCCCTGGTGGGCGGTAACGAGCTGGGGATGTTCACTGTCGATCCGGACAGCGGCGAGATCACCATCAGGAGCCCGGTGGACATGACCAACGCCACTCATGATTGGATTGCCTTAACGATACAAGCGAGCGACGGCATATTCGTCGACTCCGCACTCGTCAACATCACCGTCCGTGACGTTAACAACAACGCGCCCGTGTTCCCGCATGATATATACACAGCGAGCATCCCGGAAATATCGCCGATAGGTAAGCGCGGCATCCCGGATTAAATTCAACTTCATCCTCGGGTCCGTTCAAATCGGGCTTTCTTATCGCAGGGGGCGATTAAAGATCCGACGATTTTTGTAGAAGCGCCTTGTAGTCTTGTGGAAGAAGTCCTTCCAGCGATCCTGTTGGGTAGATTGTGTAAATAATAAGGAACTATTATTTATTTACACCACCGTATTATCTGCTTTTGGACACGCAGATGTGGAAAAATATTTTTCTCGTAGTTTTTGCATATGTAACACGGAGTGTTCTATTTTTTTTTTTTTTTTTTTTTTNTACACTTGAAGAGAGAATGTCCGTTTTGTAAATCTATTTTTTAATATCAGAGATTGTAAAAAAAGTTTGTTATTAAAACGAGTCAGAAAATGATCTCTTTCTCTCTTTACATCGAGTAAACACAACATATTATATGGAAATAACAAAAAATCTCACACATATGCATACACACACACACACACACACACACACATTGAATTATTATTCATAGTGATTGATTCGAATAAATTGTGATAGCGGGTCAACTGAAAACAATTTTTACGTTGTTACGTCAAGTGTGTGCATACATTTCGATATGAAATAATTATTACATTCGTCGAAAACGTATTCTTGTTTACAGGAACTGTCGTAGAGGAGGTAACCGCGACGGACGCCGACAGTGGGGTGAATGCAGAGCTGGTGTACCGAATACAGAAAGGTGCTTTCGACGACTTCGCCATAAATGAGACCACCGGTGTCGTTACTGTGTCCAGAAAGTTGGATTACGACGAGAAGAATACATATCACGTAGAAGTAATAGCGTTTGACAAAGGTAAACTTCACCGCACCAACAGTCACTACCATCCTACTGAATTGTTACAGGAATTCTCACCGTTTTGTTGTAATAAATGAAACTTTTTAATATCCGTCCAAATTTCTATATCTCAATAACTATTTTCTTCATATACAAATCGGCAATATAAATAAGACTCTCTTATTCGGTGCTCGAGATAAGAGACACTCTGTGTCGCAGCAAACGTAGTCGCGTAATTTCATTGTTGCAGGGACGCCGAGTCTGACCGGAACCACGACACTGATGATCGAGGTGGAGAACAGCAACGACAAGGCCCCGTATTTTACGCCGGAGACGCAACGAGCCGAAGTCACCGAGGACACGCCGATCGGCACCGTCTTCACAACGTTGAAAGCCACCGACCCGGACAGCACGAATCTCGAAGCTCTGAACTTCGCCATTTCTGAGCCGATCACGGCTATCGACAGGAACGGCCAACGAGTTAACGACAGCAAATCTTTCAAGGTGAATCAGCGAATCGAGAAACAATTAACAGTAATACGATTAATTTGTCACACGCTTATTCTCGCTTCCGCAGGACTTCTTCGCGGTTGATCGCGCTACCGGCCAGGTTTCCGTCGTTCGGGCGCTCGATCGCGACATCGCCGCCACGGTGAGCGTCACGATCGTAGTCAGCGACACCACCGCACCCACGCTGCAACAAGGACGAGGTGAACAACACTCTCTCGAGAAAACGTTAGAACGACCGTTAATGTAAGTCCGCTTATAATTCCACGTATAATTCCCGAACACACAGGTAAACTGGTGATCACTATCATCGACGTGAACCACATGGCGCCGGAATTCTTGAAGCCGTGGACCCGCGAGAATCCTCGCTACCTGATAGAGATGCAGGAGGAGCAGCCCACGGGTGCCATTGTCGGCGCCTTCACGGCGACGGACGCTGACAGCAACATCGCAGGATACGTCATCGATCCGCCGAGTCCTTACTTCAATATCGATAATATTACCGGTGAGTCGCTCATCGCTGCTCCCATCAATCAGCCTCGCGTAGGCGCACATTCTCGAAATTACTGCCGAAATTCAATTTGTGACTCGGTTTAACGGCATTAGTGGGGCGCAGTGCTTTGCTTTTGTAAGTGAAAGGGGCTCTCGAGGGTTCGCCTCGGTAGAATATCAAATGTCTATCCGGGTAGAAATAATGGGAAAAACCTTCGGATAAAATTCTTCGTGAGAGATTTGGTAAATTGGGGCGCTTTTTTGGGGGGGGAAGAAAAACTGGTCGGAGAGAACGGTAAATATTTGCATTGGCGAAACCAGCTTCAGCAAACTTGACATTTTTCTTAGACGATGCTTCAGTAAATCTGACCTCGACATTTTTCTTAGACGATGCTATTCAATCGGAAACACAGTTAACATTTTCTTTCATATTTGCGAATATGTGCAAATAAAAGTACATCTGTGGTAGTAATAAGTATGTTTGGAAAGAGAAGACGTTGATGTATCGATATATCTGTTCTCAAATTGAAAATGTCTAAACATAAATGTTTGAAGAGAGAAGATTTCCAAGTCGAGGAACTAAAAATTGGCTATGATAGATAAAATTTGTTATAACACGACCCCTTCAAATGTCAAAATAGCGGCTCTTTCTCCAGAGAGAGAAACAGAAAGTTGGGTTTATGCCGAGGTTGCGTTTCTGTCCGCAGGAATCGTAAGAACCAGCCAGGTGATCGATTACGAGGAGACGAAGCAACTGGAGTTCACGGTGATCGCCTATGACTCCGGAGTGCCTCAGCTTTCCGCGACCGCGAAAGTCACCGTTACCGTGATAAATGTGAACGATCAGGACCCGAAGTTCGAGAAGGAGCTGTACAATGCGTCGGTGAAGGAGAATTCTCCGCCTGGCACTCGCGTTATCGTCGTGAAAGCCACGGACGACGACGAGGGATCGTTCGGCGACGTCAGTTACAACCTGATTGGCGAGCACGCCTCTGACTTTAATATCGGTAAGCTCGGCGAATGGGCGCGTAAGTCGTCCGATTACCGTGTATTTTCTATGTTCTTATTCGAGGCTCCTGGTCCTCCGCTGCAGTTGTCTTGTTTGATGACGTCAGAGGCCGGAGAACGCCAGAAAAGGCTTTTACTTTCGTTAATTTCGACATCTGCCTGAGATTATCTACGTATAAGATTGAATGTTTTTTTTTGTTATCACTCGTGCACTGCTGATGCGGATTTTCAGGGCACGAAACCGGGGAGATCACCGTGGGCGGTGCCACGGTCCTCGATAGGGAGATGACGCCGGAAATCACAATAACGGTGATGGCCAGCGACGGCGCCCATGTCAATGTTCGACGTAGCACCACCGTGCCCGTAGTTGTCAAACTAATCGACGTGAACGACAACCGACCGATATTCTCGCAACACAGTTATAGAGCATCGGTCGCGGAGAATTTATCCGTTAACCCGCCAGCGCCCATTTTGCAGGTATTGTCATTTAAGATTTAAACACAGCTCGCACACTTGACTTTTCTCCCCACCGTGACAATCTCACGGGCGATTATCGATGTTTTCGTATTATAATTAAGCTCTTTAATTTCGGGAAACAGATAAGAGTGATTACACTTTTAGAATTCACTTGGTATTTATAGAATTAAGCTTTAATTTTGGGAAATGATTCAAAATTTACATTTTACATTTTCAGAATTTACTTCGCGCGTGTGTGTATTTATATATGGAGCTTGCAAAAGCTCGGTGATTACGTAACGTGCTTCAAAGCGTGTGACAAGATTGACGTAATGGTTGACGTAAAATTGACGCAGGTACGAGCGGTGGATCAAGACGAAGGGATCAACGGCGAGGTTTGGTACACGATCGTCAACGGGAACGAGAACGAGTCATTTTCGTTGAACCGCGAAACCGGCATTCTGTATCCGGCGGCCGCCCTCCTCGGCAGGGCCGGTTCCTACAGAATCGAGGTGGAAGCGCGCGACGGCGCCGGAAACGGGCCGCACTCGGACAGGTGTTACGTCGACGTCAGGGTCACACCTGTGAACCAGCATAAGCCGCAGTTCATAATGCCGGAATTAACGAACGCAACCGTTGAGGTACCAGAGGTACGTGCGTCCCATCGAAACGCCCATAAAGAGCGTTAACAAATTCTCACCGATTAATTACGCTGTTCCTTGCTTATTCATTTGATATATTTTATTTTCTAATACCTTAATTTTTAACGCGCTCATGCTGTTATAATTCTTTTTACGTAGCCGAAGAATGCTTTCCCGTGAAAATAAGTGTCGTTACTGAAAGATAATATGTATAAATTCAAACACAGGTTTTATACATATTAATGGGCATTTTGCGCGTAATTTTCAGAACGCAGGTGTCCCGAATTACTTAATATTGACTGTGAAAGCAATCGACAGAGACCCCGGGGAGAACGGCCGCGTCAGCTATCACCTGAAGGTCGGCAACAGAAACGTTCAGGAGACCGAGGAATTTTCTATTGATCAGGAGACCGGGGAGCTTCGATCGAAAATCATCCTCGATCGCGAGATCAAAAGCAAGTTCGAGGTGAGCGACGCGTAATTTCCTTAACGAGAAACATCAGCGTGAGGCTTATTGGAATTATCTCTCACAGCTTGTCCTCGTGGCGACCGATCATGGCAGTCCTACGGCATACGAGACTCTTCGGCTGTTAACGGTTCAGTTAGTCGATACGAACGATAACGTGCCGCAGTTCTACGAGGAGTATAATTTTCACGTGTCGGAGAATCGGCCCAAAGACTATTTCGTTGGCAAAGTGACGGCGGAAGACAAGGACGAAGGCAGGCACGCCAAAATTTATTATTATATAGAATCTGGTAAGTATATATGTGAAACTTAATTAGTCAAACTTGTCTAATACGAAAATGTCGATCATCATTTATCGTAAGATTCCAATATTTAATATTGCATATCTTTGTAACTAAGCTTTCAGTTGGGACTCTGTCCAAGTATACTCCATCTAGAAATTAGCCGAAAGATTGAATTCTGTCGTCTATCTTGGCTTCCTGAAATTCACCTCGCGGAAAGATCTATTTTCATTGGCATTCTAATTCGAAAAGTATCGACGTACCAACATTTTTGTGTCAGGATTTCGTTCCACTTGAGCTCCAGAATACGCTGTTCAAGTGCAAAACTTGAGCAACTCCACGAGCATTTTTCATACTGTTTCGCAACGACGAAATTTCAGTAAAAAAGTCATCGTCATCGCGACGTTCTCAAATTAATTTTTCCAACAATCACGCACAAAGACTATTATATTAAACGATAAAACGTTATTCAACGATTAAACGTTTCAAGTGAGATTCAGATCGCATTGCTGCGAACAAATAATACGAATCCTACGAATATGGTTGACGTTATCAGGAAACGAAGGGTACGCGTTCTACATGGACAAGTCCGACGGCAGCATTTACGCGAACAAATCGTTCGACCGCGAGACGCGGGACAAGTACCTGCTCACCATCCTCGCGTCCAACGATCCCGATCTCTACGTGAACCCCACGCAATCCGGCCGGCCGTTGACGCGCAACCCGGAGCACGGACACGCGAACGTGACGATCGTCGTGCTGGACGAGAACGACAATCCGCCGATCTTCGAGCGCAACGACTATTACGCCGGTGTGAACTCCATGGCGAACATAAACGACTTCGTGACGAAGGTGACCGCGTCGGACTTGGATATCGGCGACAACGGCACCCTGCATTACTACGTCGCCGGCGCGAATCTCTACAAGTACGGATCGGACAAGCCGAGCGGATCGATCGTGCCGAGCCCGTTCAACGTCACGCAGGACGGGAAACTCGTCACGAGCGGATACATGGCGGAATACAATCAGGACAGATTTATCGTCGAAGTCATCGCTAAAGAGACCGCCATCCCGGAGAGATACGCGATGACCAGGGTTCACGTAAGTTTTGTGAACTCGGCTAATGTCCGGCGTTAAACCGAGAAATCGGCCGATGCGATCTTTGCGCACAATCGTTATCGTCAATCCCATACGGAAATGCAACTTGTTGGAAATTACTAAGAAATTTGTGGTGATTAAATACCGGCGGCAATACTTCAATAATTATTCGGCCGGTTTAAATCATCATTAACTAAATGCCACGTCATATCAACCAATGATCAAAAGCACCAAATAATCGTTGAAATATCGCCTATGTTTAATCACTCGCAAATTTCTCAGTAATTCTCAGTATTAAATTTCTCCGAAGGCGCGCGAAATAGAACGGAACCGTTTATCCCACGTTATTCCCTACGTTTTTATCGCACAGATCGAATTTGAAATCTGGGACACTTTGTACGCATATACATGCGCTGAAAAAAAAACAAGCAGCACGATATATTTTTGAACGAAGGTAACCGCCGATTTTGTCGATTCGACTACTCTTTTTTTTCTTCTCTCAGCGCACGCGCAAAGTGCTGTGCAACCGGCATAAATCAATATATATATATATTAATTTTACGCTCTTTGCGGGCGGTTTTACAAATCGAGTGTCATTTACCTTCAAGGTGTGGGTATTCGAGCCGTCTCAGTTGATACGAGTGATATTATCCCGGCCGCCAGAGGAGGTGAACAGCGAGCGCGACGAGATCGTCTCGGAATTGTCCAACGCTACGCAGAGCAGAGTGGTGGTGGACGACATCAGGTACCACGTTGACGCCTCGGGACACATACGCAGAGAATGGTAGCTGCATTGAATTTTCATTCGAATATTAACTCGTCAAATATAACAATCGTCATGTACACGATTCGTTTTTACGAAGGTGCGACATGTATTTGCACGTTGTCGAGCCGAAGACTCAAACCATCGCGCCGATTCCCCACGTACTCAAAGTCATCGACGCAAAGTACGATTTCTTGAAGCACTACTACGCCGGATTCGCCATTGAGAACGTTGTGGTAAGTAGCGAATTCCTGTCCTAAAACTGTGCCATGTATAATCATCACGCCTGAAGTCTCTCGATGGACGGTAACTTTTTTTTTAAAGTCGCGTGAAATAGAATCACTTGTGAACTGATAGGAGCAAAAAGGAGTGGGGAGAAAGTATCACGGAAATTTTATTCAGAGAAATATGTGTAAATGCGAAATAAAATTGCACTTAATACGATTTCATCAACACGATAGTTTCATGATTTGATTAAATCGAATGATCAATTAACGAGTCAATTCAATGATTTCATCGCTCGTTCCAGCCTGCGTACGCCGGGGTTCAAGAGGAGCCGTTTGACCCCGCACTTGCTGCTCTGATAGCTCTCTTAGTCGTTTTGCTCGTCGGAGCGGTCACCGTTACAGTAGTTTGTTGTTGTTTACGCCACTGGTAAGTGCCAAGATTCCGGATAAAGCGCCGGAAATCCAAACGAATGCCGCGATGTAAATGTCAAAGGAAACGAGAGAAACGTTGAAGAGACAGAACGAGCCTTTCAGAAGTCAACGTTAAACATTTGAATCCCCTCCCATAAAAATAAAAACAAAATTAGTACGTCGCTACAATAGCCGGGTCAGGCTTGGAAAGGCCCCTTCCCGTGCTTAGTCACTGGCAAAGCCGATCTAAGTTTCAGAGAAAAATTATTTCACCGTGAAGTTATCGGCGCGTGTTTGCTTCGAGATCTGCTCCGAGACCGAACTCGGTTTAGCATTTTCGAAGCTTCGGATGTATCGTCCCGATGACGGTGCCGTATCTCCTCCGCCGATGACACCTCGATTTGCTGTGCTTTCAGGGTAATAACCGTTCCGAACGATATACGTAAGAAGGACGGCCTAATTAAGAAGCAGATCATTGACGAGCTGAACACGACGGAGAACCCTCTGTGGATCGAGCAGTGAGTATCGCCTTCCCAAAGCCTCGAAGATCGGCCTTTGCGCGTCGTCACAACAGTGCACGTTTCTTGCGTTATCGTTGCAGGAAATTGAAGCTGTACGAGGAGCAGGAATTAACGATGCAAGTGTTCAGTGAGCCCGACAGCGGCCTCGGCGACGAGAGACGCGGCAGTGGCGTGAGCGTCGGCATGGGTGACACGTCTCAGGACAACACGTACGCCACGATACAGCATCCTTTGCCGGCGAACAGGCATCGTCCGACCACGCCGGACTACACGACGCTTCCGGGGAATCACAATGTACGCCACGAGTAACATTACAATAGCGAGTTCCTCTCTCTTTTGGAGATTGTTAGAGTCGCATTTTCGAAGGTATCGGGAGAAAAATATCATCTTCGTATATAGAATATTTTTCCTCCTTTATTCTAGTCGTTTTAAAGTAGTCTTTATATAAGCATTTTTGGGTTTTGTTATCGTGACACAGTGCGAGTCTACTTCCTCCGTCTTCAATCTTCTTTTCCCGCCTTCAATCTGAACCGTCCCCCCTCTTTCTAATCGTGACCATTCTTCCTCGGCAGTTATACGAATCGGCAATGGGTTTCCAAGGATCAACGTTCCAGCCATCCCCGAACGTGATGCCGCAGCTCACGCTCGATCGGGACGGCCAGCCGCAATTCGTCTCGGGGCTGGTGTAAATCGACTACTCTTCGATACACAGAGCGCACCTCTTCAACAGCCTGCCCCCCCTTCGCCCCTTTCTATCTCTAAATACGATCGCTCCGTCGCCGTACGTTGTACCTCTTTGTCCGCGGCTCTTTTCTACTGCACGCGCGCGTCTCACCGAAGCGAACGGGCGACTCGCATGCACACACCTCTCATTGACAATAACCGGGTTAATATGGTCGGGTTTGTCTTGCGAGTGGACGCGTGTGACGAGAAGAGCGACATTCACATACACCACCAAAAACAAAATGGGATTTCACCCGACGACTCGCCGCCCCTACGTGTGCGTGTGACTTCCTTGTCATTTCACGGCTCGAGAACTCTTCCCGCTTGAAGGAGAGAGAGAGAGAGAGAGAGAGAGAGAGAGAGAGAGAGAGAGAGAGAGAGAGANAGAGAGAGAGAGAGAGAGAGAGAGAGAGAGAGAGAGAGAGCATGTGCGCGAAAGACTCAAGATGAAGAGTGACGACGAACGACAGTCAATATTAATGGAGTAAATTAAATCCCTGTAGCTGGTGTTTGCATGTATATATGTGTACGTTGCCAACCTGGAGTCCCGTCTGTCTGACTTTGTTGTTGGAGACTACTTTTTAGGAGAATCAAAAGGGGAGAAAAAGTAAAAAAAAAAAGAGACAAGAGGAAGAAAGAATTATACGCGCTAGATAAAATAAAAAGAAGAAAAAAAAAGAGATAGGCACTGTGAGATAGCTCGAGTACGACCGAAGCTTGGCACGACAGATATATGTATATAAGTGAATGTGTAGATTCCGTCCAGCCCAGTTTTCGTATTGTTATTATTGTCTCTAGTATTTTTTTTTTTTTTAATACGTATTACGGTATGCGTTTCTCTACGAGGTGGACGTCGCGAAGCTGCGTCTCTCCACGCGCGACTTTGAGCGCGCTTCGCGACACCACACTCCGCAATATTACTGCCAATGTTTCGGCATCCGCATTCGGGATGCCGCGCGATTTTATATGCACGACGACCAGCCAATCGTCGCCGACGAGCGCGCAACGTTTCCGACGCCAGGATTAAAATACGTATGTTATTAATTGCCCTAAGTTTTATGCCGCGCGCGTAACGTCGCTAGTGTATACGTATTTATGTTTAAGGTTTAGAGCTCGTGAACGACTGATATACCCCCTCTTCCCCCGATTAAACTGTGATTTGATTGCGCCCGAGGCACTGAGTGCAACGATCCGTTAACTCGTAATATTGTTTGCACGAGTCTCTCACTGGCGGTGGGCGGACATAGTCATATCATAGTTAGATAAAAAGAAACAATGACCTTCGTAGCGAATTCCATCGTCACACACACACACACACATGCATAATAATACAGGGTGAAAATACGCGGATCCCTGCCTTTCCGTGAGAATCCCGTCTCACGTATGAATTCAACAGAGAAACGCGCACCATCGAAAAACAGCGCCTCAAATTCAAACCGTCCGCGGCTGAGAACTGAGAGAAGATCCGTGACCTTCGAGAATTCCCTGCGAACGAACTTGTCGTAAAGGATGTATCGCAAATACTCGAAAAAAAAAGAAAAAAAAATAACAGTAACTTAACTTACGATATCAAGTTATTTCTAAGAAACATTTAATGTAAAACCATTATTCGGTATCGTCATGATATTACTAGATGGTTATGAATATACCAGTTAGCGCAAAAAGTCTCTCTGTTTATTAATTACAAATTTATTGTAATATTGTAACATATTTTATGTAAGTCATTAATAAAAAATATTCGTACACCAGTGTCTCGTCTTGAATTATTTCACGTCGAGCATTGAGTGTGCGAGCCTGAATTTCCTCGAATGTTATCTACTTGCTTGCGACCGACACGTTTTTCGAGATGCTCTTTAGAACTTAACTTGGTTTCTTACATTTTGAGGAACAATTGAGGCTCTTCCCCTGCAGATCGGATTGCTGAATATCTTCCTTCTTTCTCTTTCTCTCATTTTTGTCTTTCCCTTCGTCTTCGATCTCTTTCTTTTCTTCTTCTGGTGTGTAATCGAATATTTTAAACACTGCTTGCGGCTCGTCGAGCCACAGTTTGTAACCTTTCCTCGTGGGAAACCGTTTAGTGTTCATGCAAGTTAGACACGTCCACTTGACGCCTTTAACAGGCTTCGAAATTAATCTGACTCTAGCTGTTTCTCCAGGTATAAGCGGAGTTTGGCAACATTTGCACAAGGTTCTCTTTAAATTTGGCTCCCTAATGGAATTAATAATTTACGTTAATATATACTCCACAAATTATTTATATCTTAAAAAAAAAAAGTATATATACACAATGCTTGTAACTTACACATGTAATACCACTTTCTTTGCACAACGCATCATCATGTTACCGTAATAGGATGCTGCGACCTTGTCCTTTAACGCTATCAAATGGCTAGCCTAGTGGTAAAACATCCATTTTAAGTGATAATTACTTCTATGTTATTATATCAACCCAAAACTAGTTTAGTAAAGAAATCAACTATCGAAAAACAATACACAAGAAATTGGTATCACCAGAACACTTAAATATCTTTGATATTCTTTACACAAACAACAATCAGCAGAGTCATTGTTTTATCATAATTTACAACCATAATTTTCAATAAGTATTCACATACCTGGTACAAATAATTCATTCGTTCAAAAATATCCTTATTCTGACAAAATCTGGTCTTGTTTTCTGTAAATATATAAGCTCTTTTTCAAATATATATATAAATATATGATTATTATTCCACATATATATAATAATAATATTATATTATATTGTAATATAATAATTAACGTACTCATCATGAATCATCCAAGTCGATTATCTAGCACTACAGATCCCAGGATTAAAAATCTACATAAGTCATAAGTAAAGCTTAATGGCACATAGAAAAATGTAAAAAATTCAAGGTGTCTTATGTAGAATGGAGAAAGAGAAAATTAAAAAAAAAGAATAGTGGATGATAAACATTCCATTCCACAGAGCACATTTTACGGAAAAAGCAGTGAATTCTAACCTCAAACTTATTAGAATTCAAACTTGTTAGAACTTTGAATGAATTCATTACAACTCCACTCATATTATATAATGCGTTTAATATTCAATTACATATTTTTTCTCACGAGATTGATTATTTCTATCAAGTGTTATGGATAAAAATTGTTTACATTTTTACGGATTTTCTTTTTCACTTAAAATCTGTGGATAATCGATTATTTCCCACTACACTTCTTTTCCATACTACATTGAATAGCATCTTTACTCTTCTTCTGTTCAAAACGTATAACACGCGAAAGAATAACCTTTTTTATCGCACGAGACGTCAAACTGTCACAGCTGATTTGAAACACATGTCCCATAGATATCGGAATGTAGTCCGGTATTCATAGGTTGCATTCAGCACTGCACAGTTCAGTGAGATCTTGCTTCTGATTGGTGTAGATTTTTAAACCAAGAAAATGTGCCAATCAAATGAGCTCACCGAGCTGTTGCACCGATATAATTGCTGTATATTCTAGATCTATCCAACAATCATCAATATCGGATTTTATATTTAAAATCGCGTTAAATTCATCTTCAGATGCTCCGTTACCACTTAAACAACCCGCACAGTATTTAAAGATAAACTTTTAAGATAATCTTAAAGATCCAACTATAAATACAAATGATTGAATGTAAATAATGATGAATAAGAAATATAAATAATTATATTTGTTAACATTACATCTCTTATTGTATTCAATTTAAGTTTCTATAAAAATAGGCTATTTTATACTATATTTTATTATATCATGATTGTATAATAACATCTTATTTCATAAATAAATGCTTGCTAGGATATATATATATATATATATATATATNAGGAAAAATATTACATCCCCTTTTTTGTCACATAATATATAAAAATTCCAATATATATACACACTTTCTCTGGAATTCTAAAATCATTTCCTTAGTATTTTTACGAGATGTTTCACGTTACTTGGCTTTTGTGCAAGTATGGCGTTTATTAACGAATCTTTCACTTCTAAATTTTCTGACAAAGAAACCGATGCTAAACTTTTAATTACAGGAGTAGCAATACACGTGATGGCTGGTTTTCCCTTGAATGGCTTGAATTGGAAATGTTCGGCTCTCTGCATGTAGCCTTACATTTCTACATCAGATCTGGTGTAAACTTAACTTCTAACTCCTCAGAATTTAAAACACTCTTATTCGTACAGTTTTCATTACCATTTCTAAAAAAAACCAAAGAATCAACAATTTCATTTACGTACAAATTAGGGTAACAGTAAATAAAAATGTTATCAATGACGATTACGAAAAAGTAATGTATAAGATATAATAAAAATAGATGGGGAAATGAGAAAAATTACTTTTGAGAATTTAAAACTTGCATAATTAATTTTAAATATTTAATATATAGACATAAAATTGTACCTAAGGTTGCTGTCTGATATATTATGTTCCTTCTTATGCTCTTCAAGTTCCTCATAAAGATAACCATATTCAGCAAGAACAGTATCTATATTGCCACTCTTTGCCTTCAAATCCTCACATAATGTTTGAGCTTCATCCATGAACTGATCAGTTTCTTCCAATGATGATTTCAATTCCAACTTAAACTTCTCTATTGCATCCTGTTGTAATCAACCACATAACTCATACAACTAAGCTTATTTAAAAATGTTATCATCTTTATTACATTACTGATTGGTCATTTTAACATTCTATATCTTGTTTTATATATCGAAGCGTCAAATGAATATACCACCACCAAAATCTGTGATGAGAATATTTTCTAAAAATATCGTAGAACTATACGGCATACAAGAATAAAAAACTGTAAATAAACAAATTTAAAAACTTTTAACTGAAATATTGCTAAAAATAGCAATATTTAAAAGTTGTATCTATTCACAGGAACTGGTCCATGTAAAAATATGAAATGTAAACAAAGAATAACATAAATGTGTTTAGACTGATAGCAGCAATGCACAATTGAGCACAATATCAGATATAAAGCTGTAAAACTAAAGCCATATATATCAGAAACTACACATAACTTCCCCATGGTTGTGAAAATTACTCAGAATTCCAAGCTTTAATCACAAAGTGTATAAAAATGAAAGAAATCCGTGTGATGTAAGCTTTTCTATGTAATTGGCGGAAACAAAAATATATATTGTAAAGACAATGTTTTTACACACATAAACCGCATCTTAGTCGCTAATATTTTTATCTGCGCTCTCATTTTGCGTGAGAAAATATTTAATACCGCTATTGACAAGCTAAACATTCAGAAGCTTTCAGCTATGTTACACTCACATTAGTGCTGTTAACAGACTTCCTCAGTTCCTCCAGATGTGCATCCATCTCGACAGAGCGTTCCCCATAACCACCAACCAACAGATGCGGCATCTTCCAAGTATCGGATAGCTTGTTGATGCCACTGTCGATTTTACACGCTTTATTCCGCAAACTTTCGAAGTAACTCGATCCGAACGAATTCTCGCCCATGTCGCTTTTCACGAAGCAACAAATTGAAGCCAACGGAATATATAGTTGAAAACTGTTTGAATCGTTGGCAGCACCGGGAACAAAAGTGAGAGCGGCCAATCCATAGAAAGTTTTTGGAAATGGTCTCTCTAGCGCGCCCCCTCTGAAGAATGGATGTGAACCACAGTCTCCATTTTCGGCACTGTCGGTAGAGTCTGATACCGATATATATATATATATATATATATATACGGTGTTAAAAAATTAGATCGATAAACTTTAAAGGGAAATAGAAGACTAAATGAACGTATAAATATATAAATATTATATATACACACACATATATATATCGGGATAAAATGTAAATCATCTTGGAAAATATCCCGAAATAGATATAAGCAATAATTTCAAGCAGATCCGTTTTTCGCACATGCGCGTCATACGTGTGACGTATAGTTACATATATACACTCTGGTTAGGATGGGGAGAAACAAATTTTGGCGGGTAAGATGGCAGAAAAGTTAATATTAGGTTGAATAAGTATGTTAGTAGATATATTAATACTATGTACTGCAATATAAATAAGAAATAATAGCTTCTAATTTGAATAAACTATACATTATGACGTATAAAATATTTTATATTTCATGATTTTCCGTAGATAAGTTTTTGCATAAACATACGTATATTCCTTAATGGAAATACATCAATGTGTTTTTTCTGAGTCTTGTATATTATTTTTTTTCAATTAAGATCAAATACACAGTTTTAAAAGTTACCAAACAAGACCATCACCTTTTTAGAATATTAAGTATTTCGTTGCAGCTTGTATCATACATACACGAAGAAGCTCGCCAAGGAATACAAGTAAAAATTTTTTTTTAACTTTTAAAACAGAAATCCAAAAAAAACAGGAAATATGTTAACTGGAACAATCACGTTGATCGTGTGGAAGAAATTAAAAAGACCGGAAATAATCGTAACAGTTTATTATTATTTATATAATAATAATAAAAGCATGGTAATTATCAATAATAATTAATTAATAATAATTAATAGTAATTAATAATAATTAATGGTGACAATAATAAATGTTTAGTAGAACAACAGTTTACAAGTCCGTTTAAGAAACATGGTAAACAAGCACTCATGGCAAACATGCATTCAAGCACTTCATGCTGATTCCTTTAACCTTGTTTCTTCAGATATATTTCGGAAAGACGTTTTTCACTTGTTAAATCGATTATCAACATGCTTTCTTACAAAATGTGTTATTCCTATCTATGTATAGCGTCTTAAAAACTAAATGCGCCGTCCAAGTCTTGAAAATGTAGTTATAGGTAAACTCTTTGCGTCCTATTTTTACATCTCGCAAAACTATTCCCGACAAATCGGTGTGTGAAACTTAGCTTATCTTATCTCTACGCTTACTTTTATCGGGAAATAAAGAGACAAGAATTCTGTATCGTTATCAATCATCGAGTCATCATGCAAATAGAAATAATGTAAATATGTCAGATCTATTAATTATAACTAGCAATACGGAACACGCACAAAATTAATTTGTATGTTCTACACATAAGAATCGACAAAAATTAAAAAAAAAAAGGAAGTCTTATCAATAAATTAAAGTAATAATATTCCGATGTACCTTACGACCTAGAAAAAATAACAAAACGATGAGGACATATTAATTCATAATAAACTGCGTGTACAGCACCTTCTTTGTAGAAGTAATCAGTTACGAAGTCCTAAGAAATTAGTTTTACATAATGTCTCTTTGAGTGATATGATCGTTTTTCGTGACACATTATTTGTAATCGCTATTACGAGAAGCCTTAACGGTGGCGAAAGATGGCAAAATACAGTGGCAAAATACAGCGAAACATTTTTGAGCCACCTGCAATCTAAAAAAAAAAAAAACGTGGAGCTGCTAAATATTAAGCTGGAAAAATCACTCGAAATGAGATTAAAAGAGGTGAAAAAAAAAGGAACAGAAATACAAAACTGAATTTGTATTTATTTTTGTACTATTAGAAATATCTTAAATACTTTGCATTCGTTCTCATTGTGACGAGCTTCAGGAAAATAAAAAGCAAACAAAAAGCAGAGTTTCATTGTTAATAAAATAATGTCCGGAATGAGTCAGAGATTATTGCTGAATATTTCGTCTATTGTCTATGCATTCCTATTGATCTCGCAATGTCTTTTCATTGGCGTATACTTACAGAATTGCTAACGTGCAAATAACAAGGAGACGACGGTAAACTTGATGTCTAAAAGTTATGTTTGTAGTGCAATTCCGAGTATAGAGTGTGAATGAGACAAGAACATAATTGCAGATCTGCAATTTGTGAGGAAGAACAGAAGGAAAGGAAATATCTTCTGGGTCTTCCGTTGTCTCCCTGTTGTTCACGTGTCAGCAGTTATATAAATTCCACGCTCATGGAAGACACCTTGAAACTAATAGAATCCTATTTACAAAAATCAAACAACTTATCGTTAAAGTGAAAATGACAAGGAGGAAACAATAGACGAGATATTATATCTAACTCATTCCGGACGACGCTTTATTAACGGCGACTCTCTTTCTCTTCTAACTTATTCTTTCGTTGTTCGTCTTGGATTATTTTTACAAGAACGAATACAAAATATCAAGTTATTTCTGGTAGCACGAATTTAGTCCTTTGCATTTCGCTTCTTAGTTTCCCCTCTTTCGTCTTATTTTAACGTGACCTTGGTTAGCTTAACATCAAGTTATCAGCACCGCGGTTTTTTTCTCGAAATGGCACAGGACAGAAAGTTAGTTATTAGTAGAAATTAGTACAAAAATAAGTACTAAATAATCTGATAGGTCCGGTTTGTCGTTTAGCTGATTTGGTCCTGCTGGCTTAATAGAAAAAATTATCCCTTTTTCCGTTTGTTCATACATCACAAGTGTGAGGGGGATTTAACTAGAAATGTATGCTTTAGGGAATTCGGACTGTAAGGACGATTCAGATGTATTAGTGTAATAGCTACGGTTATGGTCGATGATCATGTGTTATATTAGCACCAATTATAACCCGGCGTAGGAATAGAAAACGAACGTGTGTCGAACAACGAAACGAAAGAAGATGTGTGAGAAAGAGAGAGAAAGAGAGAGAGAAAAAGAGAGAGAGAGAGACAGAGAAAGAAACAGCGAGAGAGACAGCAGATTTAAATATATATTTCAGTTTCTGTTTTATGACCGAGATTTTTATTATTGAATGTCCGTGCGACAACCGGCATGTTTCAAGAAGATACATTGTATTCCGAATCGTGTTGTTAAGTCGAAATCTTCTTCACGAGCCGCCATTATTGATGAGTATCTTACACTATAGCGCAACGCGGAAGGGTTTTCTCAAAAGTTTGTGGTGCTATTGCTACGATTAACCTTTTTGCCTACGATACGGAACGACGCTCTGGTGGGTGTCGGCCGCAACTTGTAACCCCCGGTCGTGTTGCTAATGGCGGTAACGTTGGCCGGCAGGGTTTTCAGACACTTAACTGTCTGTTGAAGCTGCTTCGACAGAAACTCATTCTTCACTTTCTCCGCGTTCAATTCCCTCCGTAGTTGCGCGTTGGTCTTGTTGCCGAGCGGACACAGAACTCGGTGTTGTATCAGCGATACCGCCGTCGGCCTTGTCTCTGGATTGGGATGAATCATCAGCTGTAAAAACAATAACATGTTAGAAAGTGTAATCGGCATCTGAAAACCTAAAGCGATACGTGCAACAAAATAATAAATCTTATCTTACAGAATGAGCAAGCTATCTTGTATCTCTTACCGATCAATTCTATACGCCAACTTTATATTTATTAATAATATACTCGGTGTAAATGTATCACTGTAAATGCTGTAAATACACCGGTTGAAGTAAACATGAGCCACGCGATATCGTCGGGAGGTAAGTGAAAATTTCCGAGTCGAACCGGTCAGAGAAGAAAAGTCGAGGACAATTCGAACCGCGAAGGGTTAACGTTGAAAATGGTACCCATGAGGAAGAAAAGTCTCTCGGCGAGAGTCCTCGGGAGGGAAGGTAGAAGTTAGGCCGGAAATCGGGTCAATTCGTACCTTCAGTAAGTCATTGAAATCGCGACTGTAAAGCGACAGCTCCTTCAAGTTCCCCTCCCTGATAGCGTGCCACGCAGGTCCATTCTTCGGCAAAGGCCCGCCGCCGCCCGCCTCATAAATCGTCAGTCCTAATGCGAAGATATCGGCCTTCGGCAGATGAGCGAAGTCCTCGTGCAAGATCTCCGTCGGCAGGTAACGGCAGTCGCCCTCTTCCACCTGCGGATTACTGATCGACGTCACGTGGCCAAGGTCGCCGATCTTGTAGGTGATCTCCTCGACGGTTTCCTCCTCGTCGAATCCGTCGTCGGCGGAGTCATAGTTGAGGGCTAGCAGCCGTTTCTCCTTGGAGATGAAAATGTTACCCGGCTTGATGTCCATGTGCACCAGCTGCATGCTGTGTATGTACCGCAGCCCCTCGGCCACGTGCAGCAGCAGCTGGCGCAGCTTTGGCTCGGTCAGGTGCGTCTTCTGCGTCTGCAGACGGGCGATCATGTCCGCCAGGCTGCCGCCGTTGCAGTACTCGTTCTGGATGATCATGTGATTGTTCTCTGCCCAGGCAGAATAGTAGCGCACCACATGCTGGTGCTTCCCGAGCACGGCGTGCGCGTAGACCTCGTTCAGCGCGTTCTTCTCGTTGATGCTGCCGGCTACCGGCTTGATGCTCTTCTTGATGGCGTACGTGCAGCCGTCCAGTCGATTGATGCACTTGTAAACCGAGCCGAATTCGCCGGTGCCGATCAGCCCGAGCTCGTGGAATTCCTGATGGTAGCGGGTTATATTAGAATCCTGCAGCGCCACGCGCTTCGTCACCTGTTCGATGTCGTTGTCGGAATCTTCGGAATCGGCGAGATCGAACTTTGGTATTTCTATGTCGGATAAGCTGATTTCACACAAAAACAATGCGTTAGATTCAATGGAACGTTCGTTCGTTTGCTTTTTTTGCTTTATTAGTATTTGAGGTAAAACTCTAGCAACAGCCCTGACCAAGTAGCCACCAAGGTCACTGTCTCTTTTGGAGAGCATTCAGAAATCTTGCTCGGCGGGTGGAATAATGTATATTAACCAACCATGATAAAAAAAAAAATTTGCTCTTTCTATCTTGATTGGTCAATTAAATACTGCTTTAGTCGTCGTGTGGGATTTCTGAATGCAGCCTTGGAAGTTTTCGGATGACTTTCACCAACTCTGGTTAAGTTCAATCGACGGCTGAATCAACGGAATCGACTAATTAGCTATACTAATCGTATCGGCCAAAGTGATTAGTCAATTCCGTTGAGTCGGGCGTCAGTTAAACTTAACCGAAGTTGGTGAGTCACTCTTGGTCGTTATAAATAATTTCTTCCTTCTTAATATTTAAAATTCTGTATCTCCAATTAAATATTCTTCGGTAATGAATCAGCATTTGGCGTAAATCTCTTATTTGTCTTTATTCGCTCAATAATTACTGTACGTGGCCAAATGTTGCCATGTATATCAAAGAACTTCTTACTCGACAATAATAGATATTAATCCAAATTAGACTTTTAATCGGTAAAAATCTCACCATATGATGTTATCGAAGCAATATTATGGAAAATAAATGTCAATAAATGACAATAAAACGTGGATAAAAAGCTTACCTATTCAGACTACGTTTGGATCTAGTTCTTTTCCTTGCTGCTAGTAGCATACCATTTGGTGTAAAAGGATTTACATTCGCGGCAGGCTTCTCAGACTTATTTGGGTAACTACATGGCTTTGGTTTCTCTAAAGAGAAAAACCTATTACATTTGGAGGGAAGGGGGGTGTGCATTACGCTCTTCTCTATTATAGTTTTCGGGGTTGTAGGCGAGTCGAATAAGCGCAATGCTCGAACACGCTTATATGGTGGACTAGACGCCAGGGGCTGGTATGGCACTAAAAGAAGAAGAAGAAGATATGCAGTTGCAATGCAAGTTTGTCTAGATAGATCTTTATTTTTCTATGTACATCGGCGAGAGGAATTGCTTTGACTTTTTAAACGGTTGCAAGCATTTACAACAGCTGAAAAGATATGTCATCTGCTGTAAATCTTTGTTTGCAGATATCACAAGCATTAAAAAATTCCTATTCACAAAAGGCAGTTTTCTCAACAAATGGCGTCTCTTCTTCTTAATCCCGTTGCCCGTGTCCGGGCATAGGCGACCCCCCCTCCTTCATATGTCTGTGGTGCACATGTTTGATTATACGACAAGCATATGATGGAGGGACCGACCTATATAGTTTAACACCAGTTCCGAACAGCAACATTTTTAGAGAAGTTCCTCCCCTTATTGGCAAGGGGATACTCTCTCAATGGTTTGCCATTGCCTTTGGAAAGGAGATGTGAGCATAAACAATATTTCGATGTCTGCCGGGATCGAACCCGGGACCACTAACATAGTAGGCCAGTGCACAACTTGCTATGCCACGCTCGCTCTCGCTAGTACAACATATACATAAGGAAATCAACAAACCATGAAGGAAGAAGGATGTCTTCTATATTAGACACATAATTGGTTGATTGCCTTTTGCAACTACACAAGTTCGAATACGCCTTAATTCGCGACAGGCACTGAACAGCGTGTCAGATATGCGTTCAGTCACTCTCGTTAATCCACACTTGCAAGAATGAGGTCGGAACATTATGTGCAATATTGAAAAAGCCAAGCCAAGCTCTTAACCTGTTACGGCCGACGGGATCCTGTTGTTATTGTTGGCCTGCATATCGCACTGCGGACTGTCGTCGTTGCAGTCCATGCTGGTGAAGGAGAGTTTACGCGGCTGCAACGACAGCGGCGAGCCGAAGTCCTCCACGGAGGTGTCCAACAGATCCTCGACGTCGCAGCCGGAGCTGTTTGTGCGACAACTGACGTTCAACTCCTCATAATGCGGCATGTTATATGCCTCGAGGTGCAGCTTCTGCGCGACGTCCATCCAATCGCCGCGGCGTAGCACCGCGTCGTGATGTGATGACCACACACACACACACACGCGCGCGCGATATAGCAAGATCACACGTCGCGGAACCGAGCAATGACACTATTTTCCCGCGTGCGACAAGGACAGCGCGAGGTGTCCGAGGAGAGACCGACCGATCGTGCTGAGCCACAGCGCAAACCCGAAGAACTGATATACCACCACGTCCCGATAAGCACGTTCACTCACGAGCGATGTGTATCCCGTACGCTGCACGCTGCACGTTCGTTACGGAGTGCGAAGCGCGTCGAAACATGGCGCTGCCGGTGGCCAATCGGTGCGCCGCTTATAAACAATCCGGCGGCGTGTAGTGCAACGCCATTGGCCGCCTTTGGCGTCACTGTATGCACCTCACCGTGCATACAGCAGCGCCATTTGCACGAAATATCGTTCGCCACGAATGCTTGACAGGCCGCGCCGCACGTGGATTTATTCAAGATTCGTGCGTTACCTCGGACTTCGAAAATTCGCGCGTTCCTCTGGAGTCCCGCGTGACTGCGCGACTGTTTCGGGAATAGCCTCTCCCTCTCTCTTAATTTCTCGCAAAGCCGGTTAAAGAATCCTCTTGTAAAATGGGTACCTTTCATATTCATTTCGGAATCATTAACGTCTTTTAAGTGCGCGTCACACTGCGAATTGAGAGTGAAGGGATTGGAGGGAAATTTGACCAATCAGAGTAAGTTTAGCTAAACTTCAGTCATAGTGAACTTTGCTCCGATTCGTCCAATCCTAATAGTCGGGTCTTATATATATAAAACAAAGTCTACAATGAGAATTTAAGCTGCAAATCTTAAGAAATTGATCAGTCACAGTCGATTATTCTCTTCATATTCAACTGTGATTGGTTAATTTCATAAGGCTTAGATTTTAAAGCGCCTATTGTAAATCGGAACTATGAGATTCTCAATCTTCAGTGTGCGTAAATTTTTTAAACTAGTGCAGCCAATACAACTAAAAAGAACAGACTGTTTATCTCTGCTGATCGGCTACTATCATGGTGGGGGAATTGCAACAGTCAGAACTTTGATACGGGCTTTAGACTCGTAGTAGCAGCTGAAGCAACATACGAGTGTACACGAGAGAAGGAAGGAATGAAGTCTCTGTGTTGAATATTATCTCAAGTTTTCGTGGAAGAGATTAATTTTGCGATTAACACAAATTGTCTACATTCTTCTCAGGAAATCATGGCGGACATAGAAATTCCGATGGGGGAGATGCAGACCCCGCCTCAAAAATATAAAGCTACAAACGGGTAACGATTTAGACAGCAAATTTTTCTGACATCTGCCATTAGCTAACCTGTAAGCGAACGTCACAATTGTGCATTCAATAACAATTGATATTAGAGAGTATTGATATCCAATAAAAATACCAACTAACGGTAGTATCACAGTAATGTTACAATTTCTCATTTAACAATGTAACTGTTATATACAATGCATGTTATATTATACTTGCATTGTTAAATGAAAAATTATAACATTGACGTAATTTTTACTGTTGGTTGGTGTTTACCGAGTAGTGTACAACAGTGGAAAAACAATTATTGTATAATTTATTATGTGATGCGCTTTTTAACTGATCTCAATACTTGTATCGCTTTACAGATTTGAATTTCTCCAATTGCCTCAACTGCCACTTGAACAAATAGGTTATCCCCAAGCTCAGAACTGGATTGAACACAGGAAAGCTAATATTCGGCCATGGTCGTTATTTCTTAATACAAACAACATAAGACCACCTCCTAATATAACAAGACTAAGCAAACGAGTTGTGAAGAACATTGAATATTTCCAAAGCAATTATCTATTTGTATTCGTCGGATTAGTTATCTACTGCTTGTAAGGGATATTCTTTCATCATATTTTATTAATATATAAGTTATACAATTTTTTTAAGGATATCTCAATTATATTTTATCAATTATATCTTAATATAGCTTAAAAATATATATTTTTTTAATTTTGACATAACTTGAAAATTATTCTTGAAAGGATGTATAAAAATTTTTGATGATATTATACTATGTTAGATATCCTAACATTAAAATATCAGCTATTGGTAGTTACCATTTTCTTTTTTTTTTAATAAGAATAGAACTTTCCTAATATGAATGTATCATTTTGCATCGGAAATTAAAATCTTTCATTTGTATTGCAATAATCTTTAGTTGCATTCGAAGTTGCCTTGGGTTGTGTATTCGACATAATTTGTAAAATATCAGTAGAATCTTTACTAACTTCATAAATTCTGATATAATTATATGACCTATATCTAATTTTTCAGGATAACTTCACCTCTACTATTATTAACTGTTGTCGCATCACTCGGGATATGTTATAAGCTTTCTCAGCGGCATGCTAAGCAAGAATTAATGGTATTTAATATGAAACTGACTCTGGCACAGGTATATTCCTTAGTTGGAATTTGTTCACTGCCTGTATTTTACTTGGTCGGTGCGCATGCAGCTGTATTTTGGGTACTTGGTAAGTAAAAAATTTCCCAAAATATATATTCGTCCTATTTGATTTTTGTTCATTAGCATATTCAGTAGTATGAAAACAGATATATAACACATGATAATTTCTTCTAAAATTTAAGGGTACATATGTGTGAATGAACGCGTACGTTAGGACGTTATAAATTTATATATTTGAATACGTTATTGTTTATTGTTAATTTATACGCATTTAGATGCATTTTATAAAAGAATAGTAAATCTATGCAACTTATTTTTTTTTTAGGGGTTTCTTGGTTTTTAATAACTCTTCATGCTGCTTTTTATAATATTGACGCAGTATTATGTCCAGGAGAGGAAGAACTCAATGCATTGGTGCAAGTAGTGTGATCTGTTGTTATATATTTTATAGAAGAATTCTTTATAATATATAAATATAAAATTCCTATATATATAACGTTCATAATATATGTAATTAAACATTTCAAATAACTTTCTTTGTCTGATATTTTATTACATTTAATGGTGCTAACAAGAATTTTGTACAATTTCAAGAAGAAAGAATATTGGATAAATAAAACTTTTTTGTTATGATGATGTAAAAGGAAATCAAGATTTATATTACCTTCCACAATTTTTTGTTATAGGAAGTATTTTTATTTATATCGCCATAAGTTAGATCAATAACTGACGTCATTCTCTCAACCACCTACCTGACGGGCAGTGTCTTGTATGAACTCCCTTTTCAGGTACGCGCGACGACTGCGATATTTCAGTGAAGTGTTTGGTTCAACTATTTATTTGAAGATGTTATTTCATTTGTTTTTGATTAATTTCCAAAAGTTTTCTCATTGAGCCGTCGATTGCATTTTGAACTACATCGAGGAAAAAAAAAAGTATTCGAAATGTTCGATGCGCATGCGCGGAAAAGCGGACCGTCCAACGAAATATTGCGCGCGATGCGTCGTCGGTAACACACGTGTGTTTGCCTACCTCGGTGATTGTGCACATCCCATAGTTACGTTCCAGTTTAATATATTACATATTATCCAAGTAAAATAGAAACAATTAATTTTATAACGTGAGCGTTTTAATGCAACATAAATTAAATCCGATCAATCGCTACGGGTATCATGATTCGCGAGTGCTTTTAACTTAACCTCGAAATATTTAAAACTCGGAGGCGTAAGAGGCGAAAACATTCGTATATTTGTTTCGTAAATATGTAATTTACTTAACACCGACTAATAATAATAATAATAGTAATAGTTATAACGACGACAACGAGATGTATCCCGCGAATCACAAAACGGTATTCGTGCTGGATCATACGCCTTATTTTGGAATTTCCACCGAGTGTCCGTTGGAGTTCGACTTTTTGAAAGGCAGAGGCCAGAATCTGATACCGTTAGCGCCAATTTGCAAATCACTATGGACCACCAGTGTCGAGGCTTCCTTGGAGTATTGCCGTATCGTATGGGATCTCTTTCCCAATGGCAAATTGGTATATAAAGATTAACTTTACCAATTTTACTATTAGTAATATTCATATTATTGTTATTCTTATTGTTCTTTATAGATCAGGTTTGTGGTAACAGACCGTGCTGCTTATGTGTTGAACTCGTGGAGCCCATCGCAACAAAATTTGAATCATGTGAGTATCTTCTCAAATTTTTACGTTTAATCGATATGTTACTGCCAGAAACAGTCAGTTTGTGAAATATTAGGCTAATTCTAATAGAGATTTGTCTAACTATATATCAGACTAAGATCTAAAAAGTTAGTTTTGATATTGACAGCTCTTAAGATCAAGATTGAAAACATTTATTTATTATATTCAAGGTGAAATTGTTTATCTTACTCAAACGATGAGTCTATAACTAAATGTATAACTTTGGCTGTTACTGTAACTATAATAAATACGTAATTGTTAAAACAAATATCGATATTAGTATATGTTGGAATTTGCTTGATATTTTGCTTTTATTTGTTTCATGTACAGATAATGAATGGTACTGCAATCCTGGGAGTACCGACGAAAGTTCCGGAGCCCGGAGAGGACTATTCGGTGGTACATGGCCTACGAGTGGCGATCGGGACTCTGACTGAGTGTTCCGAAATACAACACGAGAAAAGGACCTCTTTAAATGAGAACGCGAATAATCTAGTAAACAGGGGCCGAGTGATATGCATCACAAGTGCACGCGACGACAGCAATATGAAAAGCTTGGAAAACATATTCCTGAATGAATTGGCACAGGAGAACAAGACTGCGTTAGCTTCGGATCGGTCAGTATTTGCATAATTATTTCACGAAAGCGTTATGTTTTACCGTAACATTACCGTTCTTACTTGTTTGCAGTTTAGTACCCATCGATTATTGTCACTTGGTTATACTAAATATATTTCCCAGCAACATCGAGCCACAAGTCACTAGCCAAGGTCCTCGAGAGGTATGTCTTGAATTATGAATCATTATTACTCAATTTTATTCGTAATATCTTATGAAAAAAATCACAAGGATTAATACAGGGATCTTTAATAAAGTAATTTTCATCACGCAGGTCTCACCATTACTGACAGTGGAAGTGCATTCGATCAAAGCTTCGGCGCTTTATTCCAAATTGTCGCATCTCATCCTGTCCCATTATGACCTGGCCAGTACCACAGTAACTGGCATACCTATGAAGGAAGAGCAGAATGCCAGTTCATCCGCGAACTACGATGTCGAGATATTCCATTCTTCTGCCGCGCACGCTGTTATATTAAGAGGTACTTCTTCAGAATTGTATTACTTGAGATATAAATGATAATTTTTTTCCACACTAAGCGTTTCAACAGGTAATAATTTTGAGCGTTCGGTAAATGATAGTCCGTAAAACTTGACGCCACACTGGTTGGTGGAGAATTTCTTCATCTGTTCTCCTCTCGCAGGAAATCCGCAAGATTCGGCGTTGGTGAAGACTTTCAGACGTTTCGAGGAAGGCTCGGAGTACGAGACCGTGACACTCAAGTGGTGCACGCCGCGCGGCTGCAGCGCATCGGAAATGCAAAATTGCACGGCGATGCACCGGATCACACCGGTCGACGTCAACAGCAGACCGTCCTCGTGTCTGATCAATTTCCTACTAAACGGCCGGTCGGTGATGCTGGAAATGGCCAGGAAGACCGGCGGGAAGACCATCTCTCACTTGCTGGCAGCACACGGTGGCGAAATCTTTATTCATACTTTGTCCACCGCTAGGAGTGTGCTCGAAGATCCACCTTCGATAAGTGAAGGCTGCGGCGGCCGTGTGACCGATTACCGAATAACCGTAGGACGCTTTTCGTAATTACCTGATAATTACACACTTCGAAAACTCCCGGAACTCACTTCGTCGAAGGAGATATATTGACTCTAGAATACTGACTCTATTCTGAATCTATATTTTTAATTCTAGAGAATTCGGGCCCTTTAACGTGACAAACGTATGATTTTTCTTTTTTTCCTTTTTCAAAGATGTCACGTAGAGAAATTGTTGGAGAAATAGAGGAAATGGGGGTTTGTAAAATATATATTTACATGTCGGAGACACACATCGATATTCTAGGGTTAAAATTGTTTACACTTTTTCTCCTCGTATTATGCGTAGCGCAATTGTAATTCGATAATGTTTCTCTTACCGCAGGACTTTGGGAATCTTATGCGAAGTAACATGTTAGTGCCGCTGAAGCGAGCTTCCAACGACAGTACCGATGGCCCGGTGGAGAAGATGAGATCCAGACTGGAACGTCACACGAAGTACTGGCCCATCGCTATCTCCGGTACTCTCATGTTTAACGTAAAGCAGGTTCGTATTCGGATTGGAAGTTATTTACGATTAAATATAAATATGAAATATAGTCCTGTTTTTACGGCCGATACGTTTAACCCTCTGTTGGTACGTTGGATCTGCGAGACCTAGTAACTTTTTTTACGCGCCCTTAAGTATCTATAAATATGCTTATTCAATGTCAGATATCATAATTTTGAGCGTACAGGAGATAAATAATTTAACAACTTGATCGCAATTATTAATTCTAAAGTTGACAATTTAAAAGATTCAATATCATTCAAGATCTCTTTAGGATCGTAATAATATTTTTGTTTAAGTCAACTCCACCCATGAATGCCAAATTAGGGTTAAAAGTAGTCCAGCACTTTGTACCTTCCTCCCGTGTGCTCTTTCTTCTCGCGTAACAGTAATTTTGTTCGCACGCAGGTGATCGATCCGCTGCCGGAGCTCATGGTGAAGGAAAAGCTCACCGCGGAGGAGGTGCTGCAGTGCAAGCAAGTGCTGTTCAGTTTGCTCCAACTGGAAGCGAAACACGAGCCGTTACCATTGCCGAGCATCGGCGGAGGCCGCGGTGGCAAAGGCGTGAGGAAAGAAGAGCATTACCGCGTGCTGTGGGAAGAGCTGGAGACTTTTCTGAGGCACCACGCCAACAACTCGGCCGCGCACATCGAAGTACTCGACTGTCTGCTGGACATTAGAAGCAAAGATGACAAGAACAAAGTGGAGTTGGATCAAGCCCTGCGGGAACTCGACGGGTAACCGAATGAACGATATTTAACTTGCGCGCACTTGCGCGATAAATAGACGTTTCATACAGATGAGAACAGCAATCGCTGAATTTTTTCCGAGAGAAATGTGAAAAGTGAACTATTCCCTAAGTGTTTTCAAGTTAGAACATTTTGTTACGAGAAATTCTAACATTTCTAAATTTTCTCTTAGGAAATCTTAAAACTTCTCAATTTTCCTTCGGAAGATCCTAAAATTTCTGAATTCTAAAATTCCAATTTTTCTAGTTTGAAGGCATTTGGAAACGATCGCTTTTCACGTTTCCGCTCCCGGAAAAATTTATGTGATCGTTGCTTACGTAGATCTGGAAATCCAGAAGTGGATTGGTTTACAGTTTTGGAAAGGAAGACGGAACCACGGGACGGGTGAACGTGATCAGAGCGACGACGGACTCGCCGATGTCCCCGCCGACGAGCGCGTCGATGCCGCTGAAGCAGTCGCACAAAGGTAAGAGCCTGCTGGACATCCTGCTGGAGCGTAGCATACCGAAAAACCCGAGAATGGAGTTCTACGGCAGACTCAACAGCGACGGTCCGAAAGCGAAGCTGTATCGCAATCTGAAGGAGACCGGAAGGGAACCCAGGGAGCCGATTATCGAGGGTTGATTCTCCCCCGACCGGGAAATAACCCTAATGGCCTCCGGCCCATAAATGCCGGACACAGGATGACGATATGTGACGTACCGCATTGTAAATACAACCGGTTTTCTACCTCGACGGTACTCGAGGATTTGTCGAACCGGAACTGTTAATTAAATTCATTGTATATAAAACACACTCGCCCAATTAGTGTTTACATCGAACGACGAACATCCCGCGACGCGGCCAACACATACGATCGGTTACAAAAAGACTGCAACACTTTTTTTTGGTAAATTTTCGAACGCATCCCGTGTCCAACAGAATTTATTTTTAAATGATTCTCAGGAAATACGTTTTCCTATTTGACACAAGATGCGTTGCAAAACTTGTCGGGGAAAAAGTGCCGCAACTTTTTTGTGACTGACCATACGTTCCCACTTTTCTCACTCGATTAGCGTAACATACTTTTATCTTCAACAGTTGACTCGTTCGGTTGATTATCTCCCACTTTTTATGACAGAATTATAGATACAAGAATGTATGATAATGTTTCCCCGAATTGGACGCAAGTTTCGCGATGAGGGATACAAATGTGCCGTAAATTTGCGAGATCACGCAATCTTTCGGATTCGATAGGAAAGAGAAATTTCGGGACTCAACTGGGACGTGAATTGGATTTGGTTACGGTCCGAAGATGCGAGATCCGGGGGTACGATTGTCCGATTGATCAGCGCCGGTGGGCCGTCTCGGCTTCGTGTGAAGACGCACCTGCGCGAGAATATAGACGGGATGAAGGCATAATGAAAGTAGTGTACCGTTCTTACCATCTCCTCGCCTCGCCTCGCCCGCCTTTCCTCGCCACTCCGCTGTTTTACGGCCGACACGTCTGCCGAGTGTCTGGTACGTCGGCCACTATATGAAACCCATAGTTCACTTTGGCGCCTTGCCCTCCCTTCCCGTGCTAATCGATGGATGGATGGAAGGACGCTCAAACCGAGTGGAGGGAGGAGGAGAGGAGACCGTATTACGTGTAAGTCAGTGTGACGCGTGCATGATCTCAACTTCAAGCAGAGAGAGGGTTCTGGGATGATTTTCACTGAACTCTGATTGGGCTGATCGATGAATGATAATACAAATTGTCAACGCCAGTTTGCAGTCCCGCAACTTATTTAACGATCAATCAAAAAGCTACTAGCGATTTGTTTGTGCCAGCGAGACAGAGCAGGTAAACACTTGAGACTGACAGCGATTTTGGATCGTCGATTTAATCATTTCAAATCGTCGAGCTTAATCGGAATTCGGAGCGAAAGTCACCTTTAGGGAGAAAGAAACGATCACGAAGCCTGTGATGTGAACCCAGGGGTGAGAAAGTTCACAAAAGTTCACGAAAGTCGCGCGTAAAAGGGCGACGTTAAAATTGAAATCAACACTCAAGCATTCCGGATCGAAAGTTCCAAAGGATTCTTCGTATGAGAGATGAAGAGTCATTGTCGCCGTTCGCTCGACACTGGCGAAGTCAACGACTCTACTCGCTCGAGTACTTGCTCGAGGATTGCTCGGGATGCCTCAAAGCTCCCGAATCCGCCCGCGATCTGCTGCTCCGGCAAGAGGTCGACGAGAGAGAAAAAGAGGCGAGAGCCTCGAGAGAGAATCAGCCGTCGATGAAATCGGTCTATTTCGAGAGCGGAGTCATTACTTATGCCGCATCTACTTACGCTCGTATAATGCAAGCAGCTAAAAGAGAAACGGACGGAGAGGTGACGAGGAAGCGCGAGAGGGTTACAAGAGATGGAGGAGGAAGCGGAGGAGGAGGAAGAGGAGGAGAAAGAGGAGGAGGGTTGCGGAAGGGGATCAGTGAGTACAAGTGCATGACGTAACGGTTCATTCATCCCGAGACAGGCGATAGAGGATATCTCGGTCAATGGTATACTTATGCATGTAAACGCCGCGCATACGTACGCGCCAGCCCGCGCACGCGTGTGTGCGTGCGGATACGCGTCAGTCTGTATCTGTGTACGTGTGGCGTGCATGTCTGCTGTCGCGCCGCTTTCCTCTTATTTTCTTTTTTCGGTCGTATACGCGCCCCACGTGTGTGCACGCGTGCAGAGACGCGGCGGCCACCGCGCTGGTAGAATGTTTGTACGCTCCAGTCTCCGTCTTCCTCTCGAGCCTCCCCCCCCCTTTCACCCCCCGACCGAACTCTCTTGAATCTCGCACCTTTCTACAGTGCTTCGCTGGCAACACTTGCCGATTCTCGCACGATCCTCGTGTGCCCCGCACGGGTCTCGATCTCGCGGAAACAAGATTTGCAGTAATGAGGTTGCGAGTTGCATCCTTAAACGTCATTTTAGACGTCTTCTTTGACGTGTCTTTTGCCGCAGATAGACAGATGCTCGTAGTCCGCTTTTCTCATCTCTCCCGTTGAGTCGTTAAGCGATGAGGAGACGACCTCGCTTATCTGAGCGAAATATATGACATAAGCGAGTAATTAATAATAGCAGTAGGAGGGTATCGAACAGTAGCATCGGTGATATTTATATCAGAGATAAGATCTATCAGATTTTATCGCGAAGGTATATATATATATATATATAAGGAAAATACGGATGTATGGCTGCGAGCGGCAGCTACGATCGTCGAACGTTAAATACGACGATTGTCATCGCATTTATGTAATTCAAACGAACACATACACGCGTACACACACATACGGAGAATGATACGCGGAGCGTATACGATGATCGATATCAATGAAGTGCGATAACGTTTCGCGTAATTATTCAGCGTCGCTGATATTTTACGTCATGAATATTGAACACGACATGCCAGCCGGCAATGCCTGGGATACGTAAATGAGCGTATTAATTGTTGCTGATAGCGTCACGCAGAGCTACCGTGTTGGTAGTGTGGCTATGCGAGAGCGCACCGTTTATATAATTGAAGCTCGTGTATATAGCCGGTACATATCGATCGCGGCTTTAAGGGTCACTGAACGAAACGAAAGAGAGAACGAGGCGCTGCGTAGCACAACTGCGCTGTGTGCCTCCGCGTTAATGTATAATCATAAACGGGAGTTTTGGTGAAGAAACGCTCAAAGAAGAAGAAAAACATCGGTTAATATCAATTGCGCGAAGACGAGGCAAAATCGAGCGATTTTCGCGGTGAATTCGGTTTAAAACCTGCCACCAGCTCGGCGTGGAGCTTCCACCGAAGTTGTAAACCTACTTGGTTAAATATACAGTCAGTCTGTCTGATAAGAACGTGACCGACGTAACTTTTAAGCTGTTTATCGTAAAAAAATATTTTAAATTACATATGTAGCATTCGATCAGTACTGTAACGCTTTTGTATTAATAAGTCGGCCAATCACCGCCGTTGTCAATTATCGCTCGGCATCTTCGAGGTCGCATTTCTACGAATGTTGCGGTATACTCTCGAGGTGAAGATCGCTATCGAATATCGAACGAATCTGTCGGGATAGTTGTCTCACCGTGTTTCACATTTTTTCCCCCACGTACCTCCATCTTCATTCCCCAGACATTTTCAATAGGATTTGCATCTGGTGACGGCCAAATGTTTCCCAACGCTATCTTCTTCTTTCCACCAGGCAGTAGAAACGAGCTCGAATACTCTCGAGTGATAAAACTAATGTCTTCTTTTTTTAACTTAGTTTTTGTCCCTGACGTATAATGATGCATAATAGAGGATTTGTAAAAAATATCTGTACAATCCGTTCATCCTCTCTGTCCGATGTTTTCCGTGTTTTATCAGAGTCTGGCAAATCGACAACGGTGTTTGTTGTTTCATACCGTTTGCCCCTAAACACCTCTGACCTTCTTATGTATTCTCCAGCCGCTTCCGGTGACATTTTCTGTCCTTTCGGACGAAGGAAAACAGCTTCGAATTCTCTAGCGTATGCGGAACTCATCGTTAAATATTAAACATGGTTCTCTAGCAAAAGCCGGACAATGACTGGGACCCTCTGTATAATACATCTCAGAAGGAAAGCCCTTTTATACCTGCTCGTTCAAAAGTTCTCAATGTAACGATTTTCAAACAAAAGTTTGCCCAGTCGCTCTCTTATTGGACAGACGATATTTCTTAAAATAACAATTTCTTTCTGTGTTTGTATTTTGTGTGCAAAATTTCGCCGGCTTATTCGGTCGGGCTTTTGCGCGACGAATCAGCATATTTCTCGAAATATCAATATTTCCTTCTCATAGGTGCGATCTTTTCGAAGTACCACCAAACTACATATTTATATATTTACACGGTTTTTGCACGGTTCAGTTGCTATACAGGTTTTGTCGGGGCCGGAAGCTCGGACTTGAATTTTTCAGTGCATCCCGAGCTCCGTGGAGCGCGACGCGGCAGCGCAGAAACCGCTTCCCCTTCGTAGGGCTGCCGCCCCTCCGAGCTTACGGCCGACCGATCCTTTGTCATCTCTTTGAACGACGTCCCTGGAGGATGTGAACGAAGCGGTATGGCAACGTAGGGGCGTATTTCACGGGGGAACAGAGCGCGTTTCACGGTAACGAATTTTGCGCGCGTTGAGCACGCGCCTTGTTTTCACATTTTTGTTACAACGAATGCGAAATATTTGCCACAACACACACGACGTACAATCCGTACGTAAAATTAATTAATTGCCTCCATATTATCTTATTGCCCGGATATTTTGCGTTGAATTTACTACCAACGAGAGTCCGAATTAAATGCATGATCGATATGATATATCAAAAATAACGTAATTTTAGAACACGAATTCTCCGAGAGACACGAGCCGAATTTACGCGTTATTTATGACATATCACGGGCATTAATTTCACCGAATAAATACGCGTCCCGTGTGCATTTATTACCGGTGACATATTTCATACGTCAAAATTCGCAGACTAGTTGCGTTAATTCCCCCTCCCCCCCCACCCCGTGATGGAACCGCCGTATCTATGTCGGTTAATTGAAGTTACTTCGGCTCGAAATTCTGTCGACTGGGTAATTTCACGTCGATTTCATACGACTTGTGCCCAAGTTTCATGATATATATCTCTCGCAGCTCCGCGGGAAAGGGGAAGCGCACTCATTTCCCATCCTCGGTTCGCCGGTTGAGAAGCGCTATCGTCGGCGTATTCTCCCGCTGAAAGTGTCGTCTCCAGGGGAAGACCGATGTGCCCGAACGGACGGTCACTGCTGGAGTGGCCAAGCGTAGCGAAGGCCGGCGCCCGCTTTCGTAGAACAGCTGCTCGTAGCTCGAGCCAACTTTCAAAGAGCAACTTCTAACGAGGTCTCTCCGCGGCTCGGCTGGTCGAAGGGTCGATCGAGCATGCCCGTTAGGGGATTTTATCCCCGTGTTTGCTCTTCTACATTCCTGCGGATTGCGACGATGATGCTAACTGACGGCAACCGTCCGGTAAACCTCAATCTCGTATCGCAACGTTGCGACTCCCCACTCGCCGGTGTTATTGCTACATGCAACGTATGTTGCGCTCGTACTGTCGAGCGGGAAATGACAACATTGATCCCAGAAGGCACGAATGGCTAGAACACGTCTCGGAGAGATCCTGAAGGGACCTCTGAAGCGAGCAGGATATCCTTCAGACGCCTCTCTGAGGCGCCTGTCGGTAGTCGTTACTTGAAACTTGTCACGTGAAATATACTCGGGTCAGGATTTAAAATTAGATCGAAGATTTCCTGTTTAAATCGTATGCTATGTTATATCCGCGATTCAACTGACAAACTTCACGTCTAACCGGAGATTTCTGACCGAGTGTCTCACTCGAGACGAGTCTCAAGTGACGATTATTGACACAGGCCTGAGGTGTCTTTCAGGCTGGATCTACGATAGTAAACCTTTAACCTTTCGCTCCGAGCATTAAATTGTAATTCCAGCGAGAAGTTCGTTTCGAGGAACGTTTCCAGCGTGAAATCTGGAAATTTAAGCGTTATCCCGGCTTTCTCTCGAGAATCACCTTACATTCTCTCATCTACACATTCCATTTTATCGTTCAAAACAAAAGGCTGACTACACCTATCGTAGACTCGGGAGTGATGAGAGGAATACGCACCGTAAGCACAGATCCTAAGGTTCTTTAAAAGCGTACGATCGCTTAGGTTTCAAGAAAGGTCCTTTTTACAACAGATCCAGACGGGTAATTGCGGTAACTGCAGACGTGAGATAACCTTCGGCCCTCCTATTAGTGATCGGTGATTAGACTCAGACCGTATGGGATGTAATGCTGCTGTCGGTTGGCTTACTGAATAATTGCTGGTTCACGCAGCGCACGTGGTAGTGGCGAACAACCACGATGATAATATCGTGCACAGTTGTGCTCGCGTGCTATCGTGCTCACGTTCTCCTCGTCGTCGTCGAGAATTGCGCCGGCGGCAGGCCGCATGTGTTACGTCATTGCATCTTCACCGACAGCAGGCGTCCACAATCGCACTTATGACCTTGTGTTTCGTATGTACCTCTCTCTCTCTCTCTTCTCTTCCTCGCCAGCAGTCCCATGCCGCACCCCGCCGGAATATCCCTTGCCCTACCCTCGGCCTCTCCACCGCTCTGGCGTCACGTGTGACGCGGATAGGAGAAAGGGAACGGGAAGGGGAGTAGAAAGAGAAGGAGAAGGGTGAAAGGGGGAGATAGGGTGGTTTAAACGGGTGAACACGTCGCAGCTAAGGTCGCGGCGGACATTACTAGGTCACTGGAGTGACCGCGATGCATCGCACCCGCTCCTCTCCCGCTACGCTTCTCTCCGGTGTCCTTTCTTTGACGCCGCCTTCCTTTGGAATCTCTTTAGGTCAAAGGGCAAGAGGCGAAGGTGCGGCCCCGCCGTGGATAAGGTGCCCGCTTCTTTCTCTCTTTCCTCTCCCTCACGCCTTCTCTTCCCCTCTCTCTCTCTCATGTTTTTCTCACTCGTTAATATCGCGCGATGATCTTTGTTCTCTTCTTACTCTCTGAGGCCCGTGTTAATGATTTTGTAACTTGACATTTATCCCGCGTGAGATATTCAGATGTAAATTTAGAGTTGGATTTTTGTTCAAGTTTTTCATTTCAGTCGCGTATAATACAGGCGGCATTACATTTGTGAGCGCGTGTGATTCCACTGAAAGAACCTCACATCTGATTCTGATCTCAGATCTGAGTATCTCGCTCGAGAGACGTTTCAAGTAACGACTATTAAGACGGGCGTTACTCTCTAAGAAGTTTCTCTCGGAGTGAAATCTCACCGAAGAAGGGTGGAAAATTTACCCGAAGCGATAGTGGGAACACCGCCGCTCGGAGCTCGCAAAAGTGAATGTCCCTCTCTCAAGCTCAGAGCGGATTCCGACTCCTACGAGCGGACGTTTCAGTCGATCCGAGTGAATTTCTCCCTATGACAGTGAAACACGTCGGATTCACTTTTCCGCGTGAAAATATCCATTCGGCGATTCAGAACGGCAAATTCGCTTTTGTGAGTGAAGATTCGAGCTCGAATTCGAGCGACTTCGCTGTCATTCCACTTTTCTGCTGCAATTTCACTTCGAGAGATCTGGAGAGTATCCCTCCGATATTTCTCCTCTACAGGAGGAGTCAACTTTATATCCGTCGGAGAATCTCGTTAAAACGAAGGTCGCCACTCAGTAACCACTAACTGGCAATCACTTTACAACTTACTGTCGTATACTGTAACTGTTGCATGCAATGCATGTTAAATAATGCATTTACAGCGTTGAGCTGAGAAATTGTAGCATTACTCCGGTTTAGTAATAACCGTAGTTGTAATTCAGTGGGCGTAGTTATAACTCAGTGGTAACTTTTTCTACATTCGCGTTTGTTTCCACGAAACGACTTTAATTAATCCCCATCGCGGAATTGATCTCTATAAAATCGTTTAACTGAACGAGCGTTTAACTGAACATCACAAGATAAGTGAAAATAAACAATATGTGGTCTTTTTATTATATCTTTTAATTCGCAGTTTAACCGTAAGAACGATTTTATCGTTCTTACGATCCCTTAAGACCGAACCTATTAGTCTACATCTGTTCGAAAATAGATGTAAGCTGATAACAACCGGTGTTATAATACCGGTGTAAAGTAGCTGTTTATATATTTGACATTAAAATTTATAACTATGATTGTTACTGAAGATGCCTAAAGACATACGTCTAAGAGTACATATGTCTAAGAGACACCTGAAAGATGTTCTACTGTCTCTAAAAGACGTCTACGACAGCTTAAGGACTGTACTGTCTACGATAACCGTAAAGTGTGCAGTAAGACGTAAGCAGTAAGCTAATTGACAAATTGGATTCATACGTTCCAAAAATAAATTCACTGCGGTTGGATCTATTAGCTTACTGCTTACGTCTCACTGTATACTTCACGGCTATTGTAGACGGTCCTTTAATGTCACCCGGATGGTTTAGTGTTGCCTTTCAAGGATATCTCCTTTTTACATCGGTTTGCAATCTTACAAAATCGTCCAAAGTCAATCGAGTTTTCTCGAACAATCGATTCTTGAGATTCCTCGAACCGGCGATTTTGCAAAAATCGCTTCACGCGGAAGTTCGTGTTGCCATTTCGGAGTTTGTCTGTTCTTTTTGCCTCTCTTCCTCTCTCTTTCTCTTCCTTCAGACGTCGGGGGCACGTAATCCAGCGGGGCCCGACCGAGCTCGAGTTCCCGCGGAGTTCTCGCTCAGGCAAACCGGTTCCGGCGATTTCAGTCGCCGGCGAAAAACCGGCCCCCGAGGGGCATGCGCGCGCGTGCCTCGTTCGAAAAGTGCGTAGTCGAGATCGACGTAGAACGGACAGGCCGCAGCGAATAAACAATTGCGAACGAACAGATGCCTTTGTTCAGTTCCTCCGAGGCGACCGTCTCGTCCGCTTTGCGCTCGTGTCTTCCTAACCCCTTCAGGGACGAATTTGTTCAAATCGGAGCAGCATCCCAGGTAGAATAAAAAAATGACGTAAAAATGATCGAAAAAGTGAATTTTTACAGTTACTTTTTTGTCACTTCGACGTTATCGTGATTTTTCGTTCCACCGTGGACAATTTAATTGCCAAATGAATACATAAATATGATATCTGTCGGCCGTGTGACGAGATTTCTCCTTTTCCTGCGGAATTTTGTGATGAAAGTTCGCTCAATATTAATTACGTCGTCGACAACGTTCGAATGAAAAAGGAAAATTTCAACGTATCGGAACGTATGTATCCTTGAAAAAGTGAAACACGCAATTCGTGCTACGAAGCGTCGATTCAAAAGTTTACACCTCCGAGGACAATTCGTCGATCAATCACGACAGAGACTCGCCCGACAATCGCACTTCCTCTCCAAGGATTCGAGGGGAATCCTTATATTGAACTATAGATTCAGTTTTACTCCAGATGCTTTCAGAGAGACCCACCAGGCGAGTCAGTCGGTGAGTCCGGTCGCGAACAGTGAAGGTTTCCTGTCGAGCAATATACTGAGAGCAAAGTACACGTGAATCATACACCGGAGATACATATCGACGATAATCGCTGGTTAATCGCCGATCTCCTCAAGAATTAGAGTCCAAGACGACGGAAACGCGCAGACCGTATCGTATAATTATATATATATATATATATACGGTGACCGAAAACGAAGAGACACGCGGTTTCGATTTCGCTTTGCGCTCCGGCGGGATGCAGGACGAGAGAGTCGAGAAAATTAGGATATGGAAAAAGAGACGTATCTTACCTTCACTCGACGAGTCCGTCCGTATTCCGTGAAGCCAACGGACGATCTTTTCGACGATCCGCGTCGGCGAGTGAGAAGCAGGACAGAAAGTCGAGAAGAGACCGAAAAAGACGAGCAGCTGAGAAGTCCGAGGGTGACCGAGATTAAGCCGATCGAAGAACAATAATAAGAATCGCCGGCCCCAATCTCCGGTTCTGAAACTTACCGACGCTCACAAAGGGTAATCGAATAATAAAATGTCAATAAAGTATCCGAATAGTCGAAAAGTTCATTCCTATCCGCGTCAGCAAGATGGGTGATGTTCGGCTGATAGCAAAATGTAAAATCGTCGATTCCACTAATCGGAATTTACCGAGTCACCCTGAAACTTCAGGAAGTTTCGGAACGTCCTCTTTAAGAAAAAGTCGGAGTATTCGCTGCAAAGTTTGAATATAATCCATAATCGTGATTCGCTGCGTCCACAGCGAAACAAAGCGGGAAGAATCAATAGTTATTGGTCTTTACTGTTAGATCTCCGAACGTAGACCAATTATTGACGAATTGCTCAACCGTTGTGCAAGCGTTGTTTTGTCTGAACGCTGCTGCTGCATTCCTCGCTTCACGTATCACTCGAGGAAACCCGAACGCGCTCGGGATCACGTATCGCACGCGCTTGCGAAAGTGCGAACGTGTATATATACGTGCGTGCGCGCGCACGCGCGCGCCACCGCGTGTCAGGGCAAACGGCGATCTTACTGAGCTTGATGGACTGAAAGCATTACTTTTATTTCCTTCTAAAGTTTCTTTTTACTTACAAGGTATTTGGTTTTCTCCATGCATCACTCTGACATGCAGTTGTTCATTAGGTATATAAATTATGGTAATGATTCGGTATTATAATAATTATAATTATATAATAATTATTTATTATTATTATATTATTAATATTAATATTATCATTATGTCCAGTATCCCGCCTTTGTTTTCCTTTTTTTTCCCTTTTCGCTATTCGCGGAGTCGTTTGCCTTCTTCCCCCCTCGCACACATACAATTCCCCCTTCTCTCTTTCTCTCCCTCTTTTACGTTTTTTTTTCTCTTATTTGCAACGATGTGTGTGTGTGTGTGTGTGTGTATGTGCGTGTATGTATGTGAGTATGTGATAGTCTCTTTCCAAGGAATGATTCGAGAACTCCGCCCTTAGTGTGCAGACGTCGCTAGAAAACAAAACCGACTAAAGCGGGGGATCATCGATATGTACGGGGATAATGGTGAGTGATTCGCGTCTGAACGTAATCCACGATCCCGTCATTCCAAGATCTCTTCGGGGCTGTAGTTCGGGGGAAGAGGGGGGGGGGGTTTCAAGAGGATACCACCGGGTGTGTATCTACTCAAGACATGAGAAATCCAGGAAACTTAAAAATACGAGAAATTCGGTAATTTTCGTGCTCCTTCCTTTCGCAGGAATTTACGGGTAGCCGCAGGGAAGCCGCTGAGATTTTCGCGGATGCCAATGAACGGGGAAATGGAAAACGCTAAGGTGAAATTTCCACGTATATCAGCGAATTGTCAGCCTCGCGCGGGGGAAGGATCACACGTTGATATATCGGCAGCTTGAGCGTAGTCGCGCGTAGTCGAATCTCCGCATTCTTCGCTCTCGGTGATCGCGAGATCCAAACAGGCTGGAAAAAGTAAAAGGCAACCATTGTTCCTTATATCGTCTGTATGTTTCGACGCGCGCTCCACGTTGCGTATGAAGTCGCACAACTTGCGTATTCTAATATCGGTCGAATTAACGGCTAAGCATTCTCCACACTGTCTCACGCTCGCTCGCGCGGTCCAAGTTGATTGATCATCTACTGTGAAATGTGAAATGAAGTTTCAAAAAGAGCGAAATGAAGAGAAAGAAAGAAAGGAAGAACGAACGAACGAACGAAAGAGGGGAGGAGGGAGGACGCGAAGTGGAACGAAAGCGAGAAGAATTAAAAAAATCGTGGAAACTCCACTACTCTCGGCGTGCGGCGGCGGTCCAGAAGAAACAGAATGTCACGAAGGAGAATATTTCCGTGTCAGTTTATTGCTCAGGATGTGTCCGATGCGTGCGACGTATGCGAATGGATCGGCACGGAAGAAGCAAGATGTACGTAAGAAAGTTTTGCATCACCTCCTTTTTTTTTCTTTCTGAAAGATAGATATTCGCATTGAAGAGCGGCGGTTGAGGAACTGTGGAAGAGAGGGGAGGGTGCGCGCGGCATCCGATTTCAAGATCCAACGTTCGCAAGCAGCTCGAGCTGCCGCCTTGTGTGTTTCGCAATCTCGAGATTTCGCGCACGCGGATCCCCCCCCCCCNGAGCGAATCTACGCGAACGCATATCCGAGAGTAGATCGCTAGCTCTCTTCGGCTCCTTCGATTCGTGCGAGCCGAGACTCGAGGTGTCAAGTGTCCCGGCAACTACATCGGACTACGCACTGTCCCCAAGTGTGTTATTATTGATCGAAGAAATAAAGAGAAACAGATCCATTGATTCGTGAAGTTCCGGGGATGTGCAGAGGTGTTTCATCACTACCGTTCGTGAAAGAGTCTCTTTATTTCTAACATTATTGTTGGCTTCTACTTCCACGTTTCCTCGTCCGTTCATCCGATATATACTTTGTATATACAAGAGAGATCCATAAATCAAGGTAGTGCAAAACTCGGGGGGCTTCGACGGTGCGAGTGTGTGACGACGCGCGCGAAATTATCCGAGCAATAACATCAACGAGAATCGGGCTGTGTCGTTATATTGCATTTACATCTATGATCGCCTACGATGACGACGACGAAATGCAGGATCCGTCGATCCGTCACTCAATAAAAGTTGTTAGCGGGACGATGGGAGCGTAAAAAGAAGCGAGACATAATCGTGACGAGAGAGAGAGGGAGAAAGAGAGAGAAAGAGAGAGAGAGAGAGAGAGAGAGAGAGAGATGGATAGGGAGGATTCGAGGAAGGAGAGAAGGGGGCAGAGAAAGAGAGAGAGGGGAGGGGAGAGAGAGAATTAGAGTTTCTAATGCTCCCTTTCTTCTCGTCCTCACAAGAGCCGAGGATGAAGCGAGCGCCCGGGCTCCGGTCTAAGCATCGCGCGATTGTGATCCATCCATCCAATTACTCAACCATCCATCCATTCATCCACCACCTATCCGCCCGACCATCCATCCCTCCTTCCATCTGTCCATCCGTCTATCCAATTACTCAACCATCCATCCATTCATCCGTCTTTGTCCTTCCGTCCGTCCGTCGGATCATTCATTTATATTCTCTCTCTCTCTCTCATCTGCTCAACCAGCCAACGGAGCCAGCCAGCCAGCTATTCTATTCATCCACTCGTCCGTCCATCCATTCGTTCAACTATCCAGCCATCCATCCGTTCGCACGTATGCCTACACACGCCTCTCGTTCGTTCTCATCCATTCATTTGTCCATTCACTCGTTGACTCATCCGTCCGTCCGTCGGTCCGTTCGTTTGTTCGTTCCTCCGTCGGTGCCTCCGCGTTCCGTTCATCCGTCCGTTTTTGTCCGTTCGTTCGTCCGTCTGTCCGTACGTACGTCCGTCCAGATTCAAAATCGACGACGCGCCGCGATGATCGACAGACTTCGGGCGGGCACAAAAGTGCTGACGCTATTAGTGCTCGTTGCGAGCCGATCGGGTCACTTCTTGCTCTTCTTAGTGGGAGGCTCCTGCGCGTCCTGCGAGTCCTCCTCGGTATCTTCACTGTCGGTCGGCCGCGGCGTGTTGTTGCTGTCGTCATCGTTGGTAATTAGGGAGTCGTTGGTATCCTCGCTGGCGACCACAGCGTCGCCGGCGGTAATCGGTGTCGCCGGCTTGTCCATCGAGTCCTCGGTAAAGGATGTCGTGGTGCTATTTTCGTCGATCGCTGCCGGATCGAGCATGCCCGCGACCGCGGCCGGCGTTTCCTTGCCGTTCGCCATCGCTTCCTGATTGCTATCGTCCGACGGCTCCGTCGCCTCGCCGTTGCTGGCGCTGTGCGAGTTGCCGTTCTCCGTCGAGCCCGGGATGCCATCTAACAATTCTGGCTTGAGCTCTGATGCCACGTAGTGCGTCCATAGCGCCAGCTCGACTCTGTGTGGGCTCCATGTTTTACCGTTTGACGCTGGAGCACAGCAAAAGTTTTCTTTTTTTCTCTAACTTTCGGGGGGATGCATCCTGAGTAATACGCGTCTTTAATATGCTTTAAGCGATACTTTTAGCGGATTTTTCAAGTGTTGCTTTTATCGATATTTGAGTTTTTTTTTTATACATGGATATATCATGAGGAAATTTGCAAGATACGGAGACGTGCACGTTAAGAATTTAACAAGGATGAAAGACTATCGGACAATCACGAGTGATCTCGTGTAAATTCTGGAAATCGGAATTACAACGAACACATATGCTTGAAACGAAAGTGAAGATACGCAACGATCGTGGACTCAAGGCGGCGGAAAAACTTTCGGGGTGTTTCCCCCTTTTAAGGACCTAAAGGAGTGCTACGGTAATAGGACGGATCGGGTGGAGCGTTAGAACTTATAAGCGCTCACCTTGTTTGTTCAGCCTCTCGACGGTGTTCTGAATGTGCTGAACGAAGTTGAGGTATTCCTTAGTAGTGTAATCGATACCCTCAATCTCCGGTATCGCCATCAGGCACTCGTCCGCCATGAAGGGCGCGTTCTCCGGCGACGCCGCGGCGAGCAAGGCGGACGCCATCGTGGTACCGACACCCTTCAGGTTCGAGAGTGCCGTAATCGCCTGTTCGAGATTCGGAAGCTTCTTGAACGCTTTCTTCGTCTCCGCCATTACGGCACGCGGTGTGTTCACCTTCACCAAGTACGACAGCTGCGGGTAGAACTTTCCGCGCTGGAACAAAATGGCGGTCAGCCTCGCGGAATCCGTTTGGATCCTGGGATCGATTCTCGCGACGAAATCTTTTCGTATAGTTATCCTCGTATCGTTATTTTCGTACGAATCGCAGCGACAAGGTGACAAAATAGATAGAGAGAGAGAGAGAGAGAGAGTAGCAACCAAGCCAACGCTTCGCCAAGCCCGGCTCTGACTTTCGCAATTAAATCTTGCCGACAATTTGACATGCAAAATACTCGGCCGACACTTTCATTCTCGACTATCTCGTGATTCCGACATGAATTCTGCACTTTCCCCAGTTAACAAAGACACGTGCGCGGCTCTCCTCATTTGCAAGAGCCACAATTACATTTTGTCCCCCGACTCTCTTTCAATCAATCATACAGTCAGCATATATATGCGCGCGTATATATCACGTATATATGCACCACCTTAAATTGAAACTTTTTACTATTACGCAATTTTTAACTCGCAATTTTCCCCACGTATATACAAAGTCGAAACTATCAGAATTAGAACTCGTGATGATCCATTGTGACTAGAGACGCTTCTGCGATTTTCAGTCTTATGTGTACACGACTCGGTCATTTTAGACTAGGTTTCTTCACCAGCCTGCTGAATGTAACACCAGTAAACATTCTAAGGAACAAACTAGAGCTCGATCCCCGCGATAACATTGTTGAACCAAGAAGTAACTTCGCCACCTTGCCGTACGCGACCAAGATGTCCATCAACAGCACTCGATTATCCGACGCGCGTCGGGAGACGATGCATCTTACTCGAATTTGGCAGACCGTGCGATACGGACGGTCGTTTTGACCGCGCCAAACTGCGGATGAAAGCAGAGGAGAGACTTACTATTTGTTTCCATTTCATCGTCTGCACCAGCTCCTCGTGATTGAGATGCGCGTCCTTGCCGCGCGACTTGATCTTCTTCGGAAGCTCATTCTGGTACCTGCAGGCACAAACAACGAGATCTAGGCGATCAAGATTAATCCGACGCGCGTGCACAGGAGGGGGGAGACAAGAAATACGCGTGCATAAACACACTCGCGCGCGTGCACACACACACACACGCGCGCGCAAGCAGCGTCGCCAGACACACGCCTACGAGAGTGTACATATGAAAGCGGGCGGGCGTTGACGTAACCACGCCGCCGGTCGTCGCCGCTGCGAAATACAGGAGAATTCGTTAAAGGCCCATTAAAAATACAAACGTTGCCGCAAGGAGCCGACACGCCCCTCGTCCACGATTGGAGGATACCCATCTTTATCGCGCACGTGGATCACACGTGGATGTGGCGCGACGTTGCGCCGCTCTTGCACCTTGTGTTGTCGATCCCCACGCCGATTACAGCGTCGATTTGCGAGCCAGGCGACTCCGGTCGCGGCGAAAGGTGAGGATTTCTCAAAGCCCGGGGGAAACAGTGCCGAAGGTGCTTCGGAGGGAGCAACGAGAGCTCCGACGGAAGAACGGTTGATAGAAACGACCCAAGATAGGAGAAACACGTGTATGAGAACGCGCGACATCGTTTTCATTTATTAATTAGCTTCGTGCCGTCGGAAAATCGAGTTCGTTCCAGAGTAATTTGCTCAGATATTGAGCAAATCGTATTTTCGCACGAGTAATTAAAAAAAAAAAGGAAAATAAACTATATCGTCAAGTGCGTACTTCGAGGAAACGAGTCGTATATCCTCCGGGATCAAGTTGCTAAAATCGAAATAAAAATCGACCGAGACACGCTCATTCTCTGGGAGCGTACTTCCGTTAAATATAATCAATTATGCGCGCAACAGGGAATATATACAATAAAAATGTATTGGTTATGAACAAAGAAAGAACGATTCTCAAGGTAAACGTTATCGCGCATCTACTCGATATTGTAACACACGCTTCTCGAGAGAGCAATTTTTAAAACAACTGCAACACTTCGCGTGTTTAAAAAGGAATGTTTAACAAGACTGCAAATAACAAAGTCAAATGTACACATACCGCTTTTCGATATATGGGAAAAACTCTAGAAAGAAGAACGACCCGAAACTGTACCGTTTTCTCGGGTATATCCGCGGATCTTTAAAATCGCAAGACGTCTTCGAACGTGTTTCCTGAGTCGCGTTACGTACTCTTCTCAGCGAAGCTTTTCGACATTTTCCACACAGTGGCCGAGGTTGCGTTAACAAAGCTTAGAAAAAAAAAGGTAGGAAAAAAGAGCGCGTACCACACCACGTAATATCGCATATCCGCACGGCTTGGCACCGTAGAAAAGCAGCCTTGACACAAACTGGCCTCAATGGGAATGAAAACAACGGTACTCCACTTCCCCTGACCCGCGCCCTCACCCGCGCGCTTCTGCAACACGGAAGAAACTAGCGCGTAAAGTCTACCCTTCCTCCCTCACTCCTCCGTTCCTTCCCACGTGTTCTTTCTGTCACTCTATGGCTCTCTTTTTTTTTCCCTCAGTTTCGCTCTGACATGCATTGCGCTTGCATCACGATCGAACCACGAGCGACTCGGATTCATCGTTAAATCCTCGGCGAATTTTGTCTACAATTCACTTTGCTCCTGGGTGAACAAAAATTTACACTCGTTACATCCAACGATAAGTTTTCTCAATGTTACGGAGATTTCCGAGTAAATTTTGAAAAATTTTATACAGAATGTGTGCATTAGAATTTTGCTATCGAATATGCTAACGAATTGTGTCACACACACAAACACAAATATTAATTATATTATCGATTTTATTTTCTGAAACGAGTTATGATCTTACGTATTATTCACTCGTAAAATGAACTAATTTATGCTACCTGTAACAATGAGCATTTTTTTTGTAACAGCGGAAGCACTTTTAAGGAAAACATTATTTATAATGTAATTTATAGCAATAAATTATTCAAGTAAAGAACTTTGATTTTGATCTGGGAGAAATATTTAGATTCCATCATCACAGAATTTTCATTCTATCGAGTATTGTGTACTAATTTTTTTTTAATATTGTTATTTATAGATTAGCAAATTTTCTAATTTCTGAATACTCAAAATTGGATTCTTAGATCCAAAGGTCCAAAATTACAAATATCCTATGATCTAAGAATGTATCATTATTATTTTAAAATACCAAAATTTCATGTATCTCATCATTTTGCAAGCTATAATTTATAAATTTATTTATAATTCTGGATTTATATAAACTATTTTTTAAGATCCATATTTTCGTATATTCGCAAATCTTTTCATTTTCTGCATGAAAGAAACTTATAACTTGATTATTTCAACATTTTCAAAAACATTCAGAAACTATTAGGAATGTCTACTGTATAATTTCACTTCAAATTTTCAGTTATTGTAAAATTTTAATTATTTTATTATTATATTAAAATTATTATTATTTTGTTAACTACGTAAGACTTTTTTCTTCAATGTTCTCGTTAACGTTTAACGTACAACTTGCTATATGTTAAAAAATGTGTTCAAATTGTATTTCCATATAATTCGGCTCTTCAATTACGGCACATTGATTTTTTCATATCAGGTCTTTGTGAACGTAATTACTGTTAGATGCACCGGTTTAGACATCGATAATAATAGCTTTTCAAGTAAACAAATAACCCTATTTACAAACGAACACACGTGCCATTTACGCGAATGCCTTATGTACACAATGCAACATATAATCCGTATACGAGCTTCAATGTAAAATTTTTAATAATTTCCATAAAATTTTATCATTTTCAAGAAACAAAATAAAATAAAAGGGATTTGTCGTCGTCGTTCTTCGTTTCGATCCAGGTAGCCAAATCGTGTTGATTAATTTGAACGACAGCCGTCGCCAAAACAAAATAACAATAAAATCACACAAATGATTGTTTTGAAAAAACAAGAAAAGAGATCCTCAGTTATACTTTATATCGATCTGGATAGTCGTGTCGACTAATTCAAACGACAGTCGTCACAAAAGAATAATAACAACAATAAAATAATACAACCAATTGTTTTCAGGAAATAAGAAAATATGTAATTTTTAAGTTTCGAAAAAAAAATCTGTTTTGTCTCAATTTTTCCGCAGATATTTTTGGTTTCTTATTTTCTTTATAGAAAAAAAGAAAGTAAATGTGGCCGGTTTTAACCGAACACATGTGAATTTTCTCTAAACGAATTCTTAAGCCCTTGGAACGGAAACTAGAGAAATTCGCGGAAAAATTCACGAGGAAAGGGTAGATTTTTTTTCCCGAAACTTTCCAACTATAAAGAAAAGAGATCCTCGGTACTCGTATTCGCTATCGATCTAGGTGGCCGTTGAAGCCATGTCGAGTAACTCAGACGACAGACCGGCATCGACCAAATAGTCATAGCGCTCACATGTTTCTCTCTCTCACACAAATACACACGCACACCGCTTCTCGCATTTTCGTATCCTCTCCGGGACGGGACGGAATGTGTCACTTTCGCGACGACCACGTGATGTGCCAGTCTCAGCGCGACTCGCGCTTTCCGCGAGTTCGCGGGGTGGTAGATAGGTAGGTAATCCCCCGCGATGACGTCTCTCTCTCTCTCTCTCTCTCTCGGCAGCGGTACCCTCCGTGCGAGGGTGACATACGGGCGCGCAGGCGGCGTTGCCGCTCGTTCGCGCTGCCGTGGAGTGCAGCGCAAAGAGCGGGTTCATTGTCCCGCGTGCGCCCCGTGGTAGCGCCGTTTCCTCCCTTGAGCCGTTGTAACGTTGCCCGTCAGCGGCGGCGTTCGTCTCTCTCTCTCTTTCCCTTCCTCTCTTGACATGCGCACGCGCACACACACAAGTCACGCGCACACATGCACACAAAGAGAGAGAAAGAAAGAGAGGGAGGGAGGGAGAAAGGGAGAAAAAGAGAGAGAAATGACAGCGTGTGTAACGCGGTCGAGCACGTATACACGCACATACATATACACACACACACACATATGTACACACCGACCGAGTACGTGCCTCACGACTTACCAATTGTCCAGCTTGATCAGCTCCTCGGGTTTTTTCGTCTTCCGATCGGCTTTCAGGCGCAGGGCTTGCGGGTAAAGTTTCAAAACGTGTTCGAATTGCGCCGCGGTACCCTCCGCGAAGAAAGTCGCTGTGTCTTTCACGGAAGCCATTGCGATAACGCGGGCTTCGATCGACGGCCGTCGGGGCGCAGCACTAGCGCCGCCTGCTGCCGCTGCTCCGTAAAGCGCCGCGTCGTCCGTCGTTCCCGTTGCTACCGCCGCCGCTGCTGTTACCACCGCCGCCGCAGCCGCCACCACCGCTGCCACGAGCGGCGTTGCCGTGTCTCCCTCGCCGCCTGCTCCGCGCGCCGAGGAATCCTACTATGCTTCACCCTCCGCGCGATTCCCTCACCAAGCGCGGCGCGAGTAAGCGCGGCGCGTGGGAAATCGATGACGGCTACGGCTCGTGCGAGACCGTACGACGACGTTCGCGACGAGAACGATGACGATAATGACACTGTTGATACCTTCGATATTCCTGGGCGCAACGGTGCGAGGGAGAGAGAGAGAGAGAGACACCGACAGACAGACAGTGCTCCCCGAGAGACGTGTGTACGTGCGACGACGAGACTTGATAGGGCGAAATTGGCAGTAGAATATCAAGACACTCGCGCGGGACGCTCACTGTTCCTTCCTCTCTCGGTCACGCGTACTGACAGTACGACGGACGGACGCGCACGTCACGTACTTGCGTGTACGAGTATCATGAACGTCCTCGGCACTGCGCGACGACGACGACGACGTCGTGCCCGAGCGAAATCGCACTGTAAGGACTCGTTCTCGTACCTCGTTCGACACTGCTCGACACTGGGCCCGGGTGGGGAGCCGACGCGACGTTGCCAATAGGCGGCAGCACCGCTCGGGTTGTGCCTCTATCCCCCTCGTGACTGCGCCTCGCTCCCACCACGTCGCTCGTATCTGTCTCTTTCATGCACTCGCCAGTATCCCGTCTCTCTATCCCCTTCTCCTTTATGCTCGCCGAGGGATAGGTCTGTCACGCTTTCTCCGCAGAGTCTCTATCCGTTTATCTCGCTCCGTCGCTAATCTCTATTCTCTCTCTCTCTCTCTCTTTGTCTCGCTCGCTCGCTCCTTCAGCGTTCGTATCTCTCCCACTCGATCGGCGACCTCTCCGTCTCTGTCGCTCGCGCGCAGGCGTCGGGTTTCCTCCGGCGTCCTTCTCCCTCGCTCTCGACTACGTCGGTGTGTATCCTCCTATGCGTTGCGCTTCCCTCTTCCTCTCTCTCGCTCCCACGGTTCGTCCCGCACGCACTTATAGGCTGCGAAATTCGGTCGAATCGCGCGGCGACGTGCCTTCGACACCTTGTGCGTCGGAGGGGAGGCGTGGGGAGGTTCAATGGAGAGGTTCCTTTCTCCGCGAGAGAGAACCGTGTGACGCGCTTCCTCTCTCTTCTACTCACGGTAAAACGCTCGTCCCCGCGTCTCTCTCTCTTACCGTCCCTCTCTAACTTTCTATCTCGCTCGCTCGCTCTTCCTTCGACAATAAGCCGTATCAATACGACAGCTCTGTATCGCTCCTCGCGCGCGTATCGTACGTACGTGCATCCGTCGGTCCGTCCGTTCGGCGGATGTCCGTGCGCGGTCTAGTGTGATTTCGCGTGCTCGCTGCCACCTCACCCGACGCACGCACGCACGCACACGCGAGACGAGTACGCGCGTACGTAACCGCGGCGAAAGAGAGAAAAAGGGGAGAACAGCGATCGCGCTTCCCTCGCGCAGTTGTGTGTCGTCGATCTGCCTAATATTATCCTGAGACTATCGCTAGCTCGATTTTGCTCGTGTCGCCCAACAGGCGCGTTTCCACGTAAGCCAAGAGACTGAGGTTACGTCGCGCGACGACCGTCTCATCGACGACGGAACCACGGGACACGGCGATTGGCCGAGCGCGGCCTCTCTCTCTCTCTCTCTCCCCGCGCCTCATTCCCTCTCCCCATTTATATATCTCCCTCGCGCTCGAGAGCTCGTTCCCCGCTCGATGACGATATTCCTCTTTCTTCACGGGAATATCGCGCGGCGATGCTCTCTCGCGACGATATACCGTCCGGCGATAATCACCGATACATCTCCGAATGCACTGCTCTATCACCTTTGCTCTCTCTCCCTCCCTCCCTCCCTCCTTCCCTTTTCCTCTCTCTCTCGGCTGTGGTGTGACTGTATGGTGTGAGACATGCGCGCGCGCGCGCTCTTATACGATGCATGTGTGCGCGACGTGCGCGCGCACGTCCACACCACTCGAGCCTGCTCCTTCGTGCTCCGAAAAACGGGAACACAGAGAAAACGCACGCAGCCAGCTAGCCAGTCGGCCAGCCAATCGTTCGTCCCATCGCGAGCGTCAGTGTGTATAATCATAGTGACGAGGTTCGCCGACTGGGGGCAGCGCCTCCGCTGCCCCGCCCCGGTCCCCGTCGCCCGGTGACCCGTTCCTGACGAGCGAGCGAGCGAGCGAATATTCCGTCCCCCTCTCTGCTCGCACTCGCAGTCTCGCCATGTCTCCGTCAGCTGCGCACTACACCCCTCTCCTTGCGAGTGCTACACTGGAGAAGCAGCGGAGACGCAGCACCCAGGGATGAATAAAATAACACTCGATATTTTCACATGGAATTTCACTGTTGCTTGCATTTTACTTCAGACGGCGTGCGCGTCCAGCGTCTCACCCGCCGTCCAGTTTTTACCTCGTAGCTTGATTCGTAAAATCGCAATGTACAACGTCGCGTTATTATCGTGCGCTCGATGAAAATCCGGAGTCGTCGTATCGTCGTTGTACAAGATCGCAAGGCGAGCCGAGCGATAAGCTGAAGAGATAAGCACTGGGAAAGTAGGTTTAAAATTTATACGCACGAAAAATTTCAGCACATTTAATTGTTATTGATCAAAGCGAAATGTTGATATTTCTCTTGCTTCCACTATTGTCCTCTCTTTTTTTCTTTACTTTCTTTTGATTTCCCTTGCGATTATTTCTCCAGTAACTGATAATAATCGGTATGAGAAATTGATAGGCCAGGAAAGCTTGTACATTATGTATACGAAGCGGATGTACGATATTATATAGCAGGAGCCTCTCTCTCTCTCTCTCCTTCCAGGGACGCATCCTTTGTAACGGATGTCCCGCGATGAAATGCCCGACTGTTTCTGGCAGCCGCTTCAGATTCTCGGAGGGTAAATTTTACGCAGCTGCGTTCGGGTGGTACGCCGGTGTGCGCGTTTGTCAAGTTTCACCGTCGTCCGCCGTAAGAGATAAAGACGTAGAGCGGCTAATGAGTCGAGTTCTTTTGGGACAGTCGGTAGAGCGTGCCGGAGGGCAATTTATCAAAACAAGAGCACGTCGTATTTTATTTAAACTTCAAAGTTTGCGAGGCTCGAATCGATCGCACGACCGAGGAACGCGCGCGCCGATAACTTTGAAAATAATTTTCTTCTCCCATAGAAGTATCGCAATTTCTTGCGAAAGGTCAAACATGCAGCACACGCAGCTCCGAAATGTCAAAGATGCAGAGCGTAGCAATTTTTAATAGAAAAATCAAGTTCAATAGGTTGGAACTTCAGGTAGCAGGGAAACTCGGAAGAAATTTCAAGCACCGTCCGAAAGCGTCGAGATACGGACGAAGTAGAATCGTAAAACTGATTTCACAGATGTTGCTGCGTTTGTTAAAAAAGAGAGAAAAAAATAAAGAAAGGGAAGCAGATAAATCACCGAGGACGTTCGGTAAATTCAGATGCCGCGCGTGAGACATCTCTGCCGAGTTCCCCTAAAACTTTTCCCTATCTGCCTAACGTACGCGCCACGACAATGTGTAATAAAGCAGTCTAGACCTTCCTCCGAAATATTTGTTCGGGGCCGCTGTGCTTGCTGTGCACCCCATGAATCCTCTGAGAGAGTCTGTTCTTTGAGTCGCACGGTCAAAGTTACAGCGCGGAGAAAAGGGCCGTAAATGCGAAGGGAACGTTCGTTTCCTCAGGAGCGTCCGCTCACATTTCCACGCCCCGCTCCTCGCGCCCGTGTTCTCGTTCTGAAATCATTCCGGCGGCCGGGATATTGATAAATTTCGGAGAGAGAAAGACAAAGAGAGAAAGAGAGCGGTCTCTCGCGCCGACCAGAGGCTGTCACGGTGCGTGCGATCGCCCTTTAAAAACTGCGATAATGCAGCGCTTTTTCGTTCGTCAGACAGCCCCATCAAGCGGAGTGGAACGGAGCGAAGCGGAGAAGAGCGATTGTGTGGAATAGGCACAGGCAGGCAGGCAAGCAGCATGCCGGGTATAAGCTCCGCAACATGGCCGTCGACTCACCGTTATGCGCCTCGTGCCCCCTATACAAAAGAGAAAGGGCCGTCATACCGCGCCGTGCCGCGTTGCGACGCGCCGCACTGCCCCCTCTGTCCCTCGGGCGCTTGAAATTCAATTCCGGCACTGCCGCTCGGCGCGCGCGGTTGCCAGATCTCTCCCCGTTCTTCGCCAGCTCGCTCGCTCACTCCCTCCTTCTCTCGCCACCGGCCGTTATCGAACGTTCGATTTACACCGCGTGGCGCGCAGCAAGATTTTCGTCTAGATGATTTCGTCCGAGAGAGGCGACCGGCGACTTTGCGGGGAATATTGCGGCCCGATGCCGAAATCCAGCGGAATAAGTAATATGATGGGCATTGCTTGTAATTGATCGTTACATTAGATTACAGTCTGGTATGATTGAACGTAATATCGCGAGCGAGCGGATATACCATATAAAATGAATGGTAGGAATGGAGGAAGAGGGCGCGGATTTCTATCGGGATGTTCATTGATCTCTCGGTAGTGTGTGTGCTTTTTACGTAATTTTCAGCGTGCTGTTTTCATCTTTCTTATTAACCGTAACGACCGGTTCGTGTGGGCAGGTTAATTCCTTGCGTAGCCGTTTCCAACGACATTTCCAATTACGGAAGCGGAAAATCACTCTCGTGTCATTGCGGAAAATTTTCAGCTCGGGGAAATTCGCAGTGCATTTGATGTCAAATGCTTCTGAGTCACAGTCCCCGCCTTTAATCTCAACTTGGACTTTGCACCTTAATTGAGCGAAATAGCAGCATTTAATATTAAAAAGAAAAAAAAGTGACATTAAATACATTCAAATAAACAAAATTGCTACATTCTTTGAGATAATAAATGAATTGTGGAAACAAAACAGGGGGAAAAACAAACTTAACATTTTCATATATTTTACACAACAAAAGAAATAAAAGATACTTTTTTTTTAATTTAATAATTAAAAAATATTTTTTTTCGTTATGCAATTCGTAGCCACATACAAATTAGTGAAAAAATAACGATCTGAGAGATTGACCTTGTCTTAACCTTCAATACCAACAAAGGCTTTTAAATCCGCTAAAGTTTTTTTTCTCTCTACATATACATATTCCTTTTTGCATATTCTTATCTATTCTTATCGCGTTGTATCCTCGCATAAGAACAATGGCCCATTAAGAAGCGTGCATATCTCGATGAGAATTAATGCGAATCCTATATATTCCATTGTATATTTAGCATTAGTATATTTCAAGTTCTTAAGTGTATTCTACATTCTTAAGTATTCAACGATATCGGCAAGTAACGAGGTGGTAAAAAGGAATCGGGTAGCGAGTGATAAGTCCACCGCTAGCCCCAACAGAGCCTGACATCATCGACTCACTCTCTCTCTCTCTCTCGCTCTCTCTCTCTCTCTCTCTCTCTCACACACTGAACGAAAATTCCCGCTGAATTTCCCCTCGATTCACTTGTTTCGCGAGGCAAGCGACCGGGAATCGAGAGGGAAACGTGTGACTCGCCATGACGATTCGACGAAAATTCGAGCGATCTCATCGCGCGAGTCGAGAGAATCGGTCCGCCTGGCCGCTCCCAATGATAAGTATCGACGAGATCCACACGACTCGACGAGTATCGCGTAACTGCCACATGTTTCGCGTACCGACATTGCACCCGCCGAACGTGATGCTACGCGACGTAGCGCACGTGGACTCGCTCTCTCTCTCTCTCTCTCTTTCTGTCTTTCCCCTTCATCCTTCCCCTACCGCCCCCTCGCAACGCCGGTACCCCTCGTGACAATGTCGCGCTACTCTGACGTGCGGACACGCGGTTGAAGAAGGAAGGCGTGCGAGCGAGTGAACGAGCGAAAGGGAAAGAGAGAGAACGCGCGAGGGACGAGGCTTTATCGCGGGCCAATCCGAACGCTGTGACCTTGAGCCGCTTCAGAGAGAAATATATATTTAGCTCTGAACGCGCGCGCGGCGGAGCGTGTTCGGGCTTCCAACCTAGCGTTCCCTCGCTCTCTCCGGAGAGCGAGCGAGCGACCGAGCGACCACGACTTCGTCGTCTCGCGCGTCGATCGATATTTATTTATTTATTTACCGCGAAGAGACTAGATTAAACCTCTGGACTCTCGAGTTATTCTATGAAAAGCTCCTTGTCTCTCTCCCTTTTTACTTTCTCTTCTTCAACCCGGTAATATTTCATCGTGAGAACCGAGCTTCTTCGACTCAGGACGATCTCAGGGATATCAATAATTTCGTTATTGATCTTTCTCTCGCTTTCAGCTCGGAGAGCCGCTGCACTATCGATCTCGTCTTCTTCGTTTGATCTTGATCTTGGGCTTGACCGTGACGATACTGTCGATATTACGTACAGAATATGAAGTAACTCTTCGCGACGGATAAAATTTCGCTAGAATTTCTTGTACAAATGTTGCACACGTGTTTGGAAAACGAGGACTCTCGTTTCCCGCCGCCAACGCGCGTTTCTGCGAAAAACGAGATCCCTCGTTTCCCGTCGCCGGTGTGCGTTAATATAAAAACTGCATACTTCATATGAAAGTTTTCCAGTGTGAAATTCCAGTCGAC